TCTGAACACAATGACAATGGACTTTCTGGGTCGTCCAGTAGTTTGTGGGTTTGGATTGAGAGACCCAGGAATACCTCTGTAGGCACCAGGTGGCCTCTCTTCCACAGGCTCGGGAGACGCGGCCTCTGTGTGGTTTGCGAGGTTTTCAGGGTTGGCATCATCTCCATTCACACTCTGGTCTACTGGCGTGATGGGCTCAAAAATCGGTTGTCCTGACATGACAACATCGTCTGGGGTTTTGGATGCCTCAGCCTCGGTCTGTGACATGGCTTCAAGTCGGCTCAGATGGCGGCCTTTTCGCTTTGCCATCGAGCGAGGCTTCTTGGCCAACCGGCAGATTTCCGTAAGGGATAGGTCTGATGTTTCGGGGAACGATTTTGCTCGTACTTGGCCAAAGCCATAGGCACTGGCACCGGTCGCAGCGGGTGGGCTGTCTTCGGCATCATCTTCAGCAGCAGGGTTTGCCACGGAAAACATGTAGGCAGAAGTCTTTCCCTTCCGCTCCAGTCTGCTTACAACTTGGAAATGCTTGAGGTGCGGTGGTTGCTGCGTTTCAGCGACCTTGGTTAAGTGGCTTGCCATGTACCGGCGAAAGGCGTATCCGACCGTGGCAACGCTGACCTGAGGATTCGAGGCTCCTGCTGGGCCTGCGCTTTGTATCACTTCAAATACGTTTTGAGCAAGGGGCTTTTCTGGAGCCCAGCCAGGGAAGATACGGCGACGCTTGGGCTTGGGCTCATTTTTCGCCGCCTCATCGGCTTTGGTGGCTTTTCCGAAGAGAGCAAGCGCGTTAGGTTTTGGCTCCCGATGGCGTGTAGCGTCCGAATAGAGCGATGTCTTCTTGCCTGTGGCAAGAAACTTTTCCCATTCCTCGTCTGTTGGGTCCCTTATGAACTTGAGACAGTCCTTGAAGACTTTACGTGCGCCAGGAAAGGTGGCAGCGGTGTACTTGAGAACACCCAAGTCGACGATGCGTTGACAGTTCTTGGCAAGGGTCTTCATCTGCCAGTGCTTCCCCACGACGCCCATCTTGGACCTCAAATCGGCATAGCGAATGACTTGCCATGCCTTGACGACGCCGACGAAGGTCCGAGCGAAAGCCTCCATGTCGATGTTATCCCTAGTCCACCGATCATGCCAGGTAACGGGCTCCAGGTCCTTGGTAAGCGTCTCGACTGACAAATCAAGTCCACCAGTCTCAGTCTCCAGAATGGGGGGCGCGAAGTCGATAAGCCAGAGCTTGCTAGTTTTCATTTTGGACACTACTATTGTCCGCTTTGCGATGTAGCCTTTTCTGGCAAGAGAATCGGTTCGCTTGGGAAGGGAGCGCTTATCCTGATCCACCAATCTTCGAAGGTCGCTCTGCAGAATGCCTTTGTCTCTAACAGAGGCAATGCCAAGCAGACACTTCCATTCAAGAACGGGGACTCTCTTGTAGTCTACACCATGGCGAGTGAGAGTCTGCCAAACAAGGTCTTCGGCAGGGTAAATTCGAGGCCGAACAGTAAGTGACGCCTTCTTGGATTTCGATTTGGAGGCTTTCTTCTGAGAAGCAGCTGCTTTGCTGGGTTTGGACGCCGGCTGTTTTGCTTTTGGTGCGGATTCTTTGGGAATGTCGACAGGCTCGCCATCGACTTCTGCTCCATTGCTCTCAGCAGCTTCGGGTAAAGCGAGAACTTCTTGTAGCTCAAGCTTGTTGTAGCGCTTATTCTTGTTGATGAGGATTTGGGGTCGGGTTCGCAGCCAATCCCAGGCCCAGCGAGCCGATACCATCTCGGCGGGTGAGAATGAGCTTTCATCGAGCTTCTCTTCATCTTTCTGTGTGATTTGCGCCGCCACAGCAGCGATATCTTCTCCTGAAGTTGCATCTCGCCGCGCGTCGAGGGTGTTGTGATACTGACGGACAATTTTCAGTAGTGCAGAGACAGACACGCCTTTGTAATATCAAACTGAGTCAGTATTCAAGTTCATCTCAAAGATGCATCACTTTGTGTTTTCTCTTGTCTGCGACAAGGCACCTTGAAGTTGACTGCAAACAAGAGTAGCACACTAATGTTTGTTGCCAAGCAGAAGATAGCGCGGTGGGATATTGGTGTAAGAGAGTCGAGATTGTTGGCTGGAGGTACTGATGCGAATGATAATGAGAAACGCAGAATCAAAAAGAACTCACCTGTCTCTCCGGAATAGGCGATCTCGGGAATGAGACCCTCGAGCAAAACCTCGAGACCGACGCCGCTCATAATGAGTGAGAACCGTGGTGCATGACGGTCGGCATGAGGCGATAAAAAAGGATGGTGGAAAGTTTGATGCTGGGACTCGAACCGAAGATCTCTCGCGATGCAATTTTTTCGCTAGGTAGTAATGGCGAGCGGTTGTAAGCCGAGTGGGCGGACTGGGGAGCTGGCTTAATTCTTGGTGGTGTCGCTTTTGGTGGAAAGGATCTCGCTTCGAGTGCGACCGGGGCAGGAATTTTTTTTGGTTATCAGACTGGACCGTGCAAAAGGAATGACCGCTGTTTCTGGTTTCTGTCGGTACAAGTGAATGGAGGGGGACGAGCAGCAGATGGAGATAAGATGAATGGCAGTCGCAGACGAGGGGCAATTGTTGAAGTTGACGGACCGGCACATGCGACGAGTGCAATTGAAAATTTGTTAGAGCAATGAGCACTTTCCGTTTCGCAACTTCCACTTTGGCCAGGTCCAGGTCCGTCCGTTGTGTGGGGGATTGGTTTTTTTGCTGGGGTGGGGTGCAATTGGAGGAAGCTCCCGTCGTCTCAGAATCGCAAGTGAGTGCTCTTTCCATTTCCCGATTGCGAGTGTTGATGACGAATGACGAGTGGTGCTCATTTCACTTTCTTATCACCGACACGACAGGTTTTTGGCAGGTGATTGCACCGATTGGGATGCCATGGCGCTCGGCAACCATGATATGCACTACCGGGGCTACCACAAAGAATTGACCTCTGCATCCAAAACCAGCAGTGAGCGGTTGTTCAATATCCCTTCATGTTATAGTATTACCCTGCAAAGAATTCGATTACGCTCCTTGTAAACATTATCAGATGCGTGCCAGCCTTTTGTGTCACCGTACAGAACTCCATTGAAATGCAATCCATCACCCAATCCGCCTAACCGCCTCCCCCTAGCTAAACGAGCGTATTAGGTCTCCGCTCAGCCATAAGCTTGCGGTATTGTGCCACCACGTCTTCACGGACCTTTTGTAGCTCCTCACGCTGTCGTAAACTTCCCGCAGCCTTGGGAATCCCATCAACATCGACCGTCGCTCCGCCGACTAGCAATTTCTTGCTAGGAATCTTCAACTCGGGAGGGGCGTCCGCCACTTCGTTGAGACCGACCTTGGCCTCGCCTCGCTTCTTCTTGATTTCCTCCCACGGATCATCCTCCTTCTCCTTAGACTCGCCAAGGTACCTCGAGCCCTTCTTGCCCTTCTTCTTTTTCTTCCCCGCTTCCATGTTCAGCTTCCAAGTGACGCCCATAGACTCCTCCTCCATCTCCTTCTCTTCTAGCTCTTCCAGTTCTTCCTCTCTCTTCTCCTTGATCTTGGCGTCTTGTACCCTCCATTCGTCGTAAAGCTTGTGCATCTTCATCTCCTTCTTCGTTCGCCAGACTTTGAGGCCAAGCGGGTCCTTGCCATTCTTGGCCTTGTTGTTCACCAAACCACTGATGGGTAGCGCGGCGTCTACACGCTGGCTGAACTCTGAAAGCTTCTCGCCTGGTCGGATCTTGAGTTCGGGCTTTGATTCGGTTTCTTTCTCGGAAGCGGGCGTCTCGTTGGAAGCGGCGGCGGCGGCGGCGGCAGCGGCCTTTTTCTTGGCCTTCTTGCTGGGTGGCGGTGCGCCATTGTCGAGCCCGGAGCGCGGCTTCCTTCCTTCGGCAAAAGCCATCAGACGCTTGAAGGCGCGCGGCGCATCCTGAGTTTCAGGTGCTCGTTTCCTTTTGGACGAAGTCTTCTGGGTCCCATCGGTGTTCTTCTTTTGCACAGGCTGTTTCTTCTTGGAAATAGTCGTGGGCGGGAGCGGTTTCGCTATTTGGGTTGGGGGAAGGTCGAAGCTGTGTCGCAAGTCAGATATCCATCAATTGATCGTATGATGCGCCTTTGTTTGCTTACGTCGACAGATCCTTCTCGCGGCGAGTATGTTTGTGAGGCATCGTGAATGTTTCAGGCTTCTTGCTGTCCTGAATTGTCTCCTTGCACTGCTTCAGCCGACGTCAAGGTCAAATGATGCTGGTCCCTGATGGATTGAATGTCCGATGTTGCAAAAAATTTCCCCACACATTCGATAAGATAAGAGAGGTGTACCCACCTCGTCCACTTAGCTGATGGGGCTCGTGCGTCCACCAACGGGCTGTTCCATGACGGGATCCACCAGTGGAGGACGCAGCTTGAGACCCACCTTGAGATCGATCCACTGCTGCAACCCCACTTACGACATCACCTTAACAAAATCCCCCATTTCTACCAAATCCACCCAGTGCGCCAACATTCAATGTGTTGGTCGGAGACATCACATCACCGGCGTTGTTGCCGTTCACCGTTCTTGTAATCATCAGCCCTTTGATTCTGTGCAAAGAGTTCCTTGCCAGATATCTATTCCACAGGCTGGCTGCGATAACGGCGGGTGTCATCACTTTGCTACGTTATTGTTTTGTCTTCACAAACCTAATCACGGTTGTCAGGGAAACGCACCGGTCACATCTTCACTGCATGTTGGAAGGCTGCCATGCTGCGAACATGTCTGAGTGCTAGTGCACTACGGCTGTCGTGCGCTTAGTAGCCGGTATCGGGCATGCGCTTTCTGATCCCCCGTTGTTGATTTGTTCCCCGATCGAAACGGCGGTCGCGTTTACCTAATACCTACCTACATCCTCTCCATCGTCGTCTCGGCTCATTTTGGTTCTCTAGTATATGGAACCTGTTCCCGAGTCTCCGGCATTTCTCCGACGGAGGAGAAGAGGAAAGGCGGGGTGCGGGGTATGATCCCTTTCGGCGATTGGTACGGCATAGTATTCCCCTCTGCCCCCTCTCCGCTGTGTTGTTCATGACGTCCAGTCGATCGTGAACCGTGCGGTCCCGTCGAACAGGTGTATTGGCTTGATATAAAATAAACAAGAACCTTCGTGTTATATAAGACGGACTTCTGATTAACTTCACCTATCTACTTTACCGTTTGTTTAAGACTAATTCTACACGCTTCGCCGATATCAAACACAAGATGCCTGAGCAAAGACTCGCTTCCCTCGATGTACGATCTTGTCTTAACCCTTCTCAAAGTTTGAAACTAAATGATGAGGCACACAGAGCTCTATCGTTAGCCGCCTCCCGGCTTACTCCCAGTCTCTCTTTGAGGCCAAGACACAAAAGGGCTTGACCTTCGAGGCCATTGCCCAGCAGCTGGGGCGGAGTGAAGTTGCCGTTGCCGGCTTGTTCTACGGGCAAGTCCAGGCCTCAGCCGAGGATGTCGAAAAGCTGTCCGAGTTGCTCAGTGTTCCCAAGGAAGCCCTTGCCACGCAGCTGATGGGATTCCCTGACCGCGGCCGGGCAGGCCCCATGCCTCCAGTTGAGCCCTTGATCTACCGTCTGTACGAAATCGTCCAGAACTATGGCTATGCCTTCAAGGCTGTCATGAACGAGAAGTTTGGCGACGGAATCATGAGCGCCATCTGCTTCCACTCTACTGTTGACAAAGAAGTCGACGAGACTGGCGCCGCGTGGGTGGTCATCACCCTCAAGGGAAAGTGGTATGTCAAATTGTGTTCCTGTAGCCACCACACATTCGCTGACGAGAGCAGGCTTCCCTTTACTCGCTTCTAGATGGAAACAAGTTGGACTACCTACCTTTGTATCTATTGGTCTCCCTTCTTTGAAAAAACCATGGCTCAGTCTCGCATCGCCAACCTCGGCGCTTCACCGCGATAGACGGCAATTTCCGAGGAGGACAATGCACACGCGACCACTGTAACATAGTATCACATTTTCTTCATCGGCATACCTAAAGGTTTCGGGACCGAAGAAAGAAGGGTCCACATGCATATTTGGGACGATTGACGTTGTCGGTGTCGAGTTGACGTCGAGTCCTTTTTTGGTGGGGCGGAGGAACAATAGGAAGGAGGAAACAATACTAAGCGCCACACATCGCCAACCAAACAAACCCCTGAGTAGCCGCCAAACATCTACGCAAAGCGGTATGCGTACACTACAATATCAAGAAGTAAAAATAATGGTTAACTTCAATCATGCACAAGGACGTTGCATTCTAGAACCTTGTCGGGCTTCTGTACACGCGAGTGCCACGTGCAAGTGTGCATCACATCTCTTGACATCATCCAGTGGCATGCCTCCATTGCAAGCAAAGGGATGAAAGATGGCAAAGATAGTCCCTTGTTCGTCGAGTACAATCTCAAGATATGCACAATACTAAGCGCTCACCACATGAGAGAATAGGACAGCCCGTCGAAACCGTCGTTTTGTTTGCTGTCAAAGAGGCCTGCGCAATGCGAAGCCGGTGATGCAGTGTCATTCTTCCCCCCTGGTCTAAGAGCGATAATAGCAAGGCAATATTGGAGGAGATAGCTTCAGACTGAAGTTTGTTAGAAGATTCAACGAAGTGGAAAATCTATAAGAACGTCCGTCTCCTCGTCCCCAACTCTGGATTTTCTTTTCCTCCTCATCCCACAACATCCTTTGAATTCATTCAATAAACAACCCAAAACCATCAACATGCCTTCCACCGCTGCTTCCACCAAGGTCCCCCAGACCACCATGAACTTCAACGGCTACTGCGTTGTTATGTAAATAACCTCACAGTGCCTTGAAGGGCCAACGAGAGCATTGAGAGGCAGATGCCAACCAGCTTTCCTCCAGCAATCTTCCGACAAACCATCCATCTCACCTGAGTGATCCTCTTCTCGCAACATCACTCGATGAGAACCACAGAAGATCGGTATCTCGCCTCTCAACGTCAGACCAGCAATCTCATTTTCCCTCTTTCCTCGTGGAAAAGCCCAACTCTCGTTCCGCCACAACAGCAACCTCGCCTAGGAAGTTTCTTGTTTCTGCTTCATGGTGGGCTCTGCACAATGGGAGCACCCACTGACAACACCGGAGCGGTGAGGATCTCTCCTTGATGGGAATGGAAAAACCTTTTGTCAACCGGGGATATACATCCGCACACATCACACACACCATCCTTCACATAAACAACTTTCGCTTCTTTTTGTTGGGGATAACTTCACACGGGACTACTTTTCGTCCACACGGAGCTTTCCCTCTTCACTTTCGGCACTCAGGCAACAACCTCATCTTTCCCTTTCTCTCTTTTGTCACTCGACATCAACAACCCTCTGCGAACTAAGGAAATCGCCGGCGGGAAAAGATACAGCAACTTCTTCTTCGGTTCTTCATTCTTCGGCAAACGTCACCTGCGAGTCGGCGGACTCGGACCTTTCAATCTCGACTTGTTTTATCCGGCTGGGAGGGAGCTATTTCGCGACATGCTTCTCTCTTTTCTTGGGTGGAGCTTGCACGGGATTGGGTATGGCGCTTGGTTCACCACTCCTTTTTCTTTGCGCGCTTTTCTTGGAAATTTCTTGGATAGGATTGTGGAGGGGGGAGTCTTCCTCTCTCTCTCGGGGGGAAGGGCTCGCGGGATGGAGTTTCTGGAGGGCGAGGACCATTATGGGGGGATTTTACTGTATCTTTCTACTCTTGGTTTGCGAAGGGGAGGGATTGTGGGGGTGAGGGGACTTGGATGGAGGATTTGAGGAGTGTTAGTTCTTTTGATAAAAACCCCCCGGTTGACACCATATCTTTTGGATCCATGACTGTGACTGTGATCGTGACTTTCTTGCCATCGCATGCTTCTCAATGACACTCTTTCGAGCAACTGGCTTCAGTGACATGTGTTGACTTGCACATAGAACACTGATCGATCATCAAGGCAAGATACTTGGAGGACTGGCCTCGGCTCCGGGAGAACAGACTGAACTCTATCACGTATATTAGCTTCATGTCTCAGACACATTCAGTATCCGTTTTGGCCAAGTTTGGTATGTGATGTTTGCGCGGGACAAGGCTCCTTCACTGGGAGCCAAGTTTGATGTTTCAGGAGACTTTCATGAAACCACATTAACACGCGCTGCGGGTAGCTTACGAAGAAACTAGGCAGAAATACACAAGCGAGGTAGTATTCCCTAGCAATAAATCCCGTCATCCAAGCGCATCACCGAGAGAAAACGCAGAGTGTCGTGAACATCACCGTCACCACAGGCCCATTGTGACTCGTAAGGGTTAGGGTTTGATGTGCCACATTCAGAGAGAATGTGAAGGGAACTTCCAGGGGCTAGACTGTGGATATGCTGGGCGCCAAGCAAGCCGCCGACCCACCAGGCTTATCTTATCGGGCAATGGCAGCCATGTCAAAAAAAAGTTTCCAGAACTGCAGGCGCTGCGGCTTCTCGAGCTCATCATCCAAATCAATTGTACAGCAACCCCACATATTCACAATGCCGCGACAGTCCACCCGCACAAAAAAGCCGGCCACCAAGGCTGCCGAGCCTGAGAAGGTCGAGAAGGTCGTCGAGGAGAAGCCCCAGAAGGAGCAAAAGAAGCGTGGCAGAAAGCCCAAGCAGGTCGTCGAAGAGACCCCCGTAGAGGACAAGATGGAGGTCGAGGAGGAGCAGAAGGAGGAGGAAACCACCACTCAGACCAAGGCCGACGAGCAGCAACCAGAGCAACAAGAGGGGGCCGGTTCAGATTCTGAGGAGGGTAGCGACGACGAGGAGGACAACGATCTCGATCTTGATGCACTTGACGAATCCGATTCCGACTCAGAATTCGAGCGCGACCTGAACGAGAAGCAATCCGCCGCCGGCATCCAGGCAAACAAGTACCAGAAGGCCGCCGAGGAATCGAGCGACGAGGAGGAGGACGAGGATGAGATCGACATTGACGAGCTCGACGTCGACGGAGAGGAGGGAGAGGAGGTCAAGGCCATTTCGAAGGCGCGCCAAACAATAAACAACAAGCAAGGTCTCCTGATGGCGCTCAAGCGCTTCGCCCTCGACACAACCGACAAGGTCCCCTTCGCCTTCCACCAGTCCATCGTTGCCAAGAAGGTGACGGAGGAGTCCATCCCCTCGATCGACGACGACCTGGCCCGCGAGCTGGCCTTCATGAACCAGGCGCTCGAGGCCGCCCGCGTCGGCCGCGCCCTCCTCCGCAAGGAGGGTGTCCCCTTCACCCGCCCTACCGACTACTTCGCCGAGACGCTGCGCAGCGACGAGACCATGGAGAAGGTCAAGGCCAAGCTTATCGAGGAGGCCACGGCCAAGAAGGCCTCGGCCGAGGCGCGCAAGCAGCGCGACCTCAAGAAGTTCGGCAAGCAGGTGCAGGTGGCCAAGCAGCAGGAGCGCGCTAAGCAGAAGCGTGATACGCTCGAAAAGATTAACCTTCTCAAGAAGAGTATGTGGTTCCTCTCCTCCCTTTTCTATTCCCTTCTCAATCCCACAACGATCCCTTTTCCTTCCCTTCTCCTCCCCTTCCTCCTTTCAGTACCAGCCCGACTAACCCTCCCCCTTAAAACAGAGCGCAAGGACGGCGGTGGCCCCACCGGCGCCAACGAAGCCGAAGACCTCTTCGACGTCGCCGTCGACAACGAGCTCAAGGGCGGCCCCGGCGGCAACAACAGCAAGAAGCGCGGCCGCGACGGCAAGGAAGGCGGCGGGCCCAACGCCAAGAGGCAACGGAAGGACGCCAAGTTCGGCTTCGGCGGCAAGAAGAAGTACGCCAAGTCCAACGACGCCATGTCGTCGGGCGACGTGAGCGGGTTCAGCGCGAGGAAGATGAAATCGGGCGGCGACCGTGGCCGTGCCGGCGGCCCAGGAGGAGGCAAGCCCCCCGCCAAGAAGTTCAAGCCTGCGCCTAGGCCTGGTAAGGCTAGGAGAAAGGCCGGGGCTGGAAAGAGGTGAAGTGGTGAAGTGGCTGAAGTAGCAAGGAGAAGCAGAAGAAGATGTGAATAGCAGTCGGTGTCATGATGGGTAATTGTTTCCAACCTAGTACAACAACAAGTTCAGCACGGCAGGCTGGTAGGGAAGGTGGTAGTAGCGTGTATAAGTATACATCATCGTGGGATCGGTCATACAACAAACATCATTGAAGGATCAGATCAATTAAGTAGCCACTACCTTTACCTAGATACCTAAAGAGTTCTTTTTCATGCGTCACAGCTCGATGGTGTTACCGGATTTGCTCAAGGTCGTCTTCTCATGCCATTTGTCTTGCAGAATGGTCACATCCTCACCCAACAACTGGTACTTTACTTTCACCTTCACCAAAGGGTTTGATATCAGCTCTTGGACAAAAGCAGATGTCAGTCACCGCAGTTTAGGTGAGCATCAACTGATCATGGGCAAGCCTCATAAGGGCCATCGCTGCTTTAAGATTACTACAAAGTAACTAGTACACGAGACAACCCACTTCCGCTCCTCAAACCCTTGTGATAAGGGGTGTAATGCGCAACACCATCGTAACGCCCGCTTGCTGCTGCTGACCGAGACGTACCTAAACCCAGACCCAAACCCAGATAGACCTAGAAAGACCCATAACCACCAACGCCAGACATAGACCCGCCTGCCCTGAATTCGTAAGCAAAGAGAGAGTGAAAAATAGCAAAAAGCCCCTCATCCAATCTAACCCCACCGCTGTGTAGGATTAGAAAGAAAGCACCACCTGAAGGGTATTTCAGTGGTATCACATTAGCTCCGGAAAGAATTGAGCGATCTTATTCGGATTTCCAAATTCGGACCTGCCCGGTTCCGGAGTGACGGGACTCGTTGCCGTCTCCATGCTAATCATGCTACTGGTCGTGCTATTGTTCGTCAAGGTGGTGGTGAGGCTGTAACCCATGCTGGCTGCCGAGTAGGCCTCTCCCAAAGCGGTGGTCAACGAGGCACGCTTCTTCTTGATGTTTCCCTGGGCGGGTGGTTGCTGGGATCCTGCCCGTAGTAGTTGCGGGGGCTCCGTGATGTTGCGGACATTGGGGATGTTAGACGGGTTGTTCGCTGATTCAACGTTTGCTAGCGGGGTCCGGCTTCGAGGTACGGCGGGATCTGTGGTTGTTCGGACCCGGTTGGGGGTGAATGATGGTATTGTGGGACCCAAAAACTTCTTCTGGGCATGTTGTTGGGGACTCTCGATCTCGATGGCTGGCATGAGAGCTGTGGCAGCGCCGCGTGATGACGTCTTCTCGTTTGCGGCCAAGCCCTTCGAACTGACGAAAGCCGTAGAGCGGCGTTGCTGGGGATCCTGCTCGTAGTACTGGTCCTTGATAGGATGTACCAGAACAGTTTGGTTGTGGATAGTCAAGATCGAGTTGGTAGGTACGTTTACCCAGTTTTCTATACGGCTTGTTAGCTACGTCCCCGTGCACTTGATTTTGCATGGACTGACGAAACATACCTCTCTCAAAGGACAAGGGCTCACTCGCAACCAACACGACGTCAGCCCCCTTGTCGCTTCGTTCCATCTGGTAGTCCCGGTTCTCGGGATCCGCCTCCCTTGTCTCCCACAATGTCCCGGAGGAGTAATACAGACTGGCAGCCTCGTCCGTGGAACTACCGACGTATCGGGTGCAAATGATCGAGTGTCCGTCTGTGAGGGCGAAGTTCAAAAGACTACGGGTGTCGATGTTCTCCGAGTGTACTAGACTCTCTGGGATATTGTCGATCAGCTCGTTGATGATGTCAATCGTCCTGAGCATAGCCTTTCGCAAAACGGTCGGCCCAAAACCACCCTCGGGTTGCGAGCTTGGGTCGAAGCCCATGCGTTCCAGTGTATCGAGGAAAAGAGCGAAGGCCCACTCGCTGTCGGTTCCGCCCGCCACACCCAGGTACCACTTATCGGCGAGGCGCTCGCCAAGTCTTCTCTTGATGTACTTCCATCCTCCCAGTCCGCCGTTGTGCATCCACATAAGACTTCCATGGCAGAAAGGGTGGCAGTTGTCCTCGCTCAGGGTGCCTTCGGTAGTGGCTCGGACATGGGCGAACACGAGATGCGAGGCGGTCTTGGAGGCTAGACGCTGTAGGTTTTGGCAGTTCCAGGCGGGGGTCGTGGACGTAAACAAGCAAGGTGCGGAACCGAGCTTGGGGTCTGTGTAGAATCCTATACCGAAGCCATCCGCATTGTTTTGGCCGCGACGGGTGTCCTGCGCCGTGAGATCATGGTGAGTCACAGTACTCGACGGTGAAATGGTTGCAAAGGGCGAACAAGGGGGATATGCATACCAGTCGCAATCGTGAATCGAAAGACTGCTTGAGAATCGAATGGGCGGGGTCGAGGACAAGCTTGGAGAGCAGGATCTCGTCGCTTCCTTTGTATACCTGTTGATGTGCCGGTTAATCAGCAGGTGTTTTCATGACGCGATAACCGGATCAAATGTTGTTGTCTTACCAGGAACCGACACATGGCCGACGGTGTAGACTGAGGATGAAGCTACTTAAGGTATGACAATGCCGGCAATTGCTCGTCTGCAGCAGCGTGGGAGCGTCGTACTAGTTGCTACCGTGTCGTTGGATTGAGGCGTACTGTTTGCTGTTGAATCGAAGAGAATCGTTTTGTTTGTTGCCTTCTAGAACCGCAATGGCGAAGGGACAAGCGGCGAGGCTGTCGACAGGACTTTAAAGGGCCAAGCGTGTCTATGACCGACAAGGACTGGGCCGACACAAAGGGTTCAAGTATGAGTCCTGGAGAAGAAAGGCGGGATGCGGGATTGGGTAATTGGGCCCTTTTGGGCAAAAGACTGAGACGGGGAGCTGGAAAGACGGTGGGATGGGATTTCAATCTGGGGTCCAGTGCAGGTCGCCGACAACGAATACCCCAGGGCAGCGTGTCCAGTCATAGCAGTCCAGCCCATTCAGGGCTGACGGTATCGCCTGCGAGAATGGCGGAATGCAAGGCGCAACAGCCGGGACCCACTCCAGGGTCTCCAGCTTGCCACACTGGCTGCGACAGGCACGACTGGCACGTTCTCGGCACTGCAGCCGAGGTGCCAGGTGCAACGGGAAGACTGGCCGGGGGACGACGGACGGGACGGCATCGACGGAAGCGCGGCCGTTTCTTTTTCTGTCTGACGTTTTGTACATGTTTCCCATTCATGTCTTGCCCTTCCAGGCGGACAAAGAAGTCCCTGGCGAGAACCTCATGTCCTAACAATTCAGCTGGCCAGGGTTCCATGTCTCTTGATTCTAGGTAGCCGCCATCACTGGAGATACATGTCTCTTTTCTGCTGTCCAAACATAGGCAGAAAATTAATACCCGAGTCACAAACATTGCGACACCCTCCGGAGCAAATGGGTGCTCAACTCCGTGGCTGTCTCGCTTGTTTGCAACGGGACCATCGTACACAATCACACCAGCTCATTGTTCCTGACAATGGGAAGATCTTGTTTCATGTCAGCTACCCGGATCAGTTGCCTACTGCTCAACAAACATCAGACATCTCTAGTAAAAATTCACCATTCAAAGACCTTATGCATGCGACTTGTACCGAACTGACGAGTAGTCACGATGCAGTCGACTAAATTGTAAAGAAAAATTACATTGAACATCAGAATCGTATACCCATCATGAGGGCGGCGACTTGAGGGACGGGATCTCAGGATCTTGGGACTGCAGGATCCAGAAGGATCTAGATATCGTTTGCCACTACAAAGCCTCTCAAACACTAACAATTACTGCCCCACTTTTAGGTCCAACGCAGCCAGCCAGGTCGTCGCCCCGGCCCACGGGCACTGTCCCGATTTTTGTGGGTGGGGTGAGTTTGGCGGGCTGGCGTGGGCTGCGGCTCCCAGAATCCCGTTCGGCTCCCTGAATTGTCAACCCTGACCGGGCATCAATGAACCACTGACGACAACACTACCCGATCCGACTCCGCGATCACACCCGGACTTCTTTTTATCCGACTCAAGGGGTCCTGTGCCCTCTGAGACCGACATACGACGCCGACGACATACGACGACCCTCGCCCTTTGATCGACGCCTAGATGCCGTGCCTGATTGCATGATCCGAGACAGGCACCGCTCCGTCGTTCCTCCATCATGAGCGCACAGCTTCGCGCTGCCGGGGCCCTGGGCCCCGTCGCCCGGCGTGTGACTCTCCGAGCTATTCGCCCGTACCATAGCCAGCTTCCTACCGGCGGCCTTCAACGAACTGAGCATGCCTCGCGAGCATTGCGGCGCTCGATGCGCTTCCCCGCCAACTCCTACCACAACGCCGTCATTGTCCGGAATGCTTCCTTCATCCGCTTTCTCCCCAAGCTGGCCCTCAAGTTTGCGCGCATCCCTGCCTTGTTCGGCACCATGATGATTGGAGGCGTCGCATGGATTCAGTACCAGGCCATCCGTAAGCAACCTACTGCCTGAGTCTGCTGGTAGTTGAGGACCCCGCTAACAGAGACACAGAGGTGAGCAATTCGGCCCAAGAAGTCTTCGGCAACGTCAAAAATACCGTCACCACAACCGCCTCCGGTCTATGGGGCAGCGCCGTCGATATTGCCGAACAGACCAAGCGAGGTTGGGATAACACAAAGGAAGAATTCGACCTACCTGAATGGCTAGGGAACCTCTTCAAATCAGAGGGCGGACCTGAAGGGGGTAACAACAATGGTTCCGGACCTGGAGGACCCGAGCCCCCTAAGAAAGCAAGGATGGGCGCCGCCGCCGTTGGTGCTTCAGCAGCTGCTTATGGTTACGATGATGCGGCCGAAGAGGATGACCGGACCCCCGAGGAAATCTCCAAGGACGATCAGATGATGTATATGACCAAGATGATGATCGAGATTCGGAACCTACTCCAGAAGGTTGGCCAGTCGAGCACGGTCTCCCTGCCCTCCATCGTTGTCATCGGATCTCAGTCGTCGGGAAAGAGCTCGGTTCTCGAAGCTATTGTTGGTCATGAGTTCCTGCCCAAGGGCAACAACATGATCACTCGCCGACCGATCGAGTTAACGCTGGTGAATGACCCCAAGGTCAGCGCCGATTACGGTGAATTCCCGGACCTTGGCCTTCACAGAATCACCGACTTCTCCCTGATACAAAAGAACCTTACCGAGCTTAACCAGTCCGTTCCCGAACGCGAGTGTGTCTCCGACGACCCAATCCGTCTTACCATCCACTCACCCCGAGTCCCGGACCTGTCTTTGATCGATCTGCCCGGTTACATACAGGTTGCTGGAGAGAACCAACCCCGGGAGCTCAAGCGCAAAATTTCGGAGCTTTGCGACAAGTATATCCGAGGCCCCAATATCATTCTCGCCATTTCTGCCGCCGATGTCGATCTGGCCAACTCGACCGCCTTGCAGGCAAGCCGTAGGGTTGACCCCAGGGGAGAGCGGACGATTGGTGTCATCACCAAGATGGATTTGGTTGATCCGGAAAAGGGTGCTGCAATTTTGAGCGACAAGCAATATCCTCTACGCCTGGGTTATGTTGGTGTGATTTCCAGGGCTCCTCAGCAAACAGGGCTGTTCAAGCGGGATACCGGTGCTCTCGTGAGACAGATCAGCAAAAATGAGAAATCCTACTTCAGCACTCATCCCGAATTTGGCCCAGACTCTGGTGTCAACATCGGCACCGTAACACTACGCAAGAAGCTCATGCATGTCTTGGAACAGCAGATGTCATCCAAGTTGCAGGATACAACAGCTGCCATCCAGCGCGAGCTCGAAGAAACTTCCTACCAGTTCAAGGTCCAGTATAACGAGGAGCCCATGACGGCCGAGGCATACCTTGCTGCGAGCCTGGACGACTTCAAGCACGCCTTCAAGAGGTTTGCTTCCAGCTTTGGCCGCCCTCAGATGCAGCAATTGCTGAAGGAAGCGCTCGACCAGCGGGTTCTCGATCAATTGGCAGCCAAATACTGGAACAAGCCCATCGAGGATCTTTCCCCTGCTCCGTTTGAGCCAGAGAACATCGCCGATCTTCCAAAGGCGGACCCCAACTCACAGTTCTGGCATATGCAGCTTGATACCGCAACCTCAGCCTTGACCCGGCTCGGTGTCGGTCGCTTGGCTGCCACCGTGGTCGCCAACGCTATCCAGGCCAACGTTGACAAGCTCGTCAACAAGTCGACCTTCGCCAAGCACCCCTCTGCGCGCCAGGTCATCAACGAAGCTGCCGCCACCGTCCTCGCCGATCGTTCATACACTACCAGCGATGGTATCGAATTTTCTCTCAAGCCTTACAAGTATGAGGTCGACATCCAGCCTCAAGAGTGGTCGCAAGGGCGGGATCACGTTGCCGGTGTTCTCAAGATGGAACTAGATCATTGCCAGAGGGCCATGGGGAACCTGGAGAATTCCGTCGGAGGCAAGAGAAAGCTGAAGGAGGTCATGAACTTTGTCGACAAGGCTCGCAAGGGCGAGATTGTTGTCGAGGGCGAGACCAGGAACGGCGCCGGTGGATTCAGCGCTGCTTTGCTCCAGAAGGGTATGTCTTATTCCCCCACCTCCTTCCCCCTCTTTGATGTATCAACTAACAAACATCCAAAACAGGCCGCGAAGCCGTCTTCCTCCGCGACCGCGCCGACATCATCAACATGCGCATCATGGCCGTCAAGTCGCGCCAGTGCAAGTCTCTCGAGAACAAGTACTACTGCCCCGAAGTCTTCCTGGACGCCGTCGCCACCAAGCTCACCCAGACCTCGGTCCTCTTCCTCAACGTCGAGATGCTCAACGACTTCTACGCCCGTTTTCCTCGAGAGGTCGAGTTCAAGCTGGGCGAGCAGATGCTCGGCGGCGGGCTCGAGCGCTTCGCTTCCGAGGACCCCCGCATCCGGAGACACCTGGATCTGATCCGCCGCAAGGAGCTCCTCGAGCTGGTGCTGTCCAAGATTGAGGGGCTGAGGAGGTTCAATAGGGCTGATGATGATGTTGATAGTGCTCATAATTATCATGGGCATGGGCATAGGGCTTATAATGGGAACTTGGGCAAGAAGTCGTCGTCGAGTTCGGGGTCGAGTTCTTCGAGGGGGAGATTTGGGTTCTAAAGCAGAGAGTTGCGAGCAGTGGGAATGGAAAGGGGGAGAGGGATGAAAGGTGACTGATACGGTGTACTAGAGGAGAAGAGAGATGGGGAGAAAGAAACGGGCGAAAAAGACAAGGGAAAAGAACAGACTTGTTGTGGAAGTAGTGTTTATGACTGGGAGTGTTCTGTCTATAGGTCAGCAGGAAGGGATCGGAGGTAGAGGGCGTTTGTGCTTGAGAACATTTTGATTAGGTTTCTTGGTCGGGGTTTTGTCAATTATCGCATGGAGGAAGCGAGTTGATTGAATTCGTAGGGTACTTTCTGTTTCTTCTGGTGTTAGATCGCAAAGGCAGGCAGGCAGGCAGGCAAATCTGGGAATCGATTAGCGTCGTCATATCAAGAAAGGGCTTCATATACTAGTCTACTCAGTTCAGTTTTATTCTGCTCTTTTAAAGACGAAATGAGAAGGAAAACATCTCGACCATTATGAACTGACATGGGACTTGGGCAGGTGTACGGTGCAGAAACGCTTGTCTGATATCAAGCCCGCTAGACTTTACTTTGCCTCTTCTCGCTTGCTAAATAAACACGCGGTGGTAAAATGCCCAACCAAACCACCTTCCTCATCATCATCAAAAAACCATCCCTATCCTCTTTTCCAATACCGCGCGCGAAAAGGTTATTTTATCACAAAAGACATCCCAGCCATTATCAACATACATACATAACATCCCTTCTTTAAAGTTTGCACAATTACGTAGAATCAGTACTCATCTGCACCGTAACCTCCCACCTCAAATTCGACCCCCTTCCATACCCCTCACTCAACCGATTCTGCACCAACCTCGCCAACCGACTCCTCAGCTGCGCCAGCGCGCCGTCATCCATTCCTTTGGTAGCCAGACAGACCTTCAGGTTGGCCATGGCCAGACCGTAGTGCACCTGCCAGAACTGAGCCTCTTCGACGCGCTTGATTTGGGGTTCGGATTCGATCTCGCGGACGACGGCCGAGACTTGGCTGTTGTTGTTATTCTCTCCTGCCGCCAAACTGTCCGTTTTCTTATCCGAGGATGCCGCTGCAGATGGCGGAGAATGCGAAATATCTCTTGGCCCAGAGTAACTCATCAACAACATCAGCCCCTGCGCAATCGCCAGCCGAGTGCCCAACACAAACATGCTAACGGCTATCGACGCGCAGATGAGCCGGTCGAGCCAGACAAAGTACGAGACGCTGAGCAGCGGGAGGAGCAGCATGACGCAGGCAAAGAACGTGGTCAGCAGGTGGAACGGGTTGGACAGGATGCCTGCGTGCGGCAGGAGCTTGCGCAGGTACGGCAGGGGCACGCGCATGACGCGGCCGATGCGGCTGTGGTTGCGCAGGCCGTAGGCGCTTATCAACGTGCTGAGGATGGCGGCTAAGCTGGCCAAGTCGACGGCCCCGGCCGAGACGCGCGGGGTGGTGCCGTCGTGGGCGTGGATGTGCGCTATCGGTGTCGAAGGGGCCAGGTTTGCGCTCATGTCGTCCAGGGTGTCCGGTAGAGGGTGATGGGGGGCATGCTCGCCTACGTTTTCCAGAGCGTGCTTGATGTTGTGCGAGAGCAGGTCGAAGCCGCCGAAGACGAGGAAGACGGACATGGCGAAACCGGCGAGCACCTCAGCGCGCTGGAGACCAAAGGGGTGTCGGATGCTGGAGCGACGCCAAACTTCGAAGTTGCCTAGGACGTCGACGGCGACACAGACGGCGGCGGAACCGACGTCGAAGGCGACCAGGTGCGAGAGGGCAGTCATGGCGAGCGAGCCCTCGGCGCTGAGGAAGACGTAGCCGGCTATGGCGGCGTGGCAGCAGCACCACCAGAAGCGCATGCGCTGGAGCTTCTGCATGCTATGCCATGCTTCCTTGAAGGTCGGGATAGGGAGGGAAGCGGGGAGGACGGGCGGTGGGCGCGGTGGGGGTTCCTGGAAGAAGGAATGTTGGGCGCTGATGGAGGAGTGTTTGTAGCGATGGCCGCGGCGTTGACCGATGTTCTGGGGAGCATTGCCATTAACAAAAAGGAGATATAAGCGGGACAGCAACGCAACATACAGATTTCACGGGCCCCGAAGAGATGATCTGGGTCTGGAAGTTGAAGGGGTTCTTTGGCGGCGCGCTGAACTCGCCCGTGGTGGGAGACGCAGACCCGTCCTGGGTCGCCATTGCAAAGGGACTGGGGTCGGGCGACGGGGACCGCAGAAGGCTCAAGTTCGCGTGGTCGGGATGAAGGAAGGTGTCGGACGAGAAGGTTGTTGATCGCGGGGAAATGTAGGTTGGCGAGAGCAAGAGGCCTTGGCTATTGCGTTTGCGTTTGTCCTGTGACGGAGACTGTGACGGAGATGAGGGCGATGGAGCGGCTAAACTGTGGGAGCCAGTATCATCCTGGTCGCGATCGTCGAGGGCCAAGGAGATGGTGGTGGTCTTGATAGCGTCGCCGCTGCTGCCGCTATTGTGTCGCCAGTCCCTCGGGGCGCCTCTAGCGTCGTCTCCGTGATCGTCGTCCGCAGCAGGGTAATCAATTGCCGGCGCAATGACGGGAGGGCCAGTCGCCATGTGTAGATTGTGATGGATGGCGGTTGACAGAGCCGTGGATGTGGCCGTCGCCGTGGCCGTAGCCGTGTCTACCGCGGTGGCGCTACCGCAGTCATTGACCAGCAGCGCCAGGGGCAGAGGTGGAGGGCCAGACGGAGTGGAGGCGGACTTGGTGACAGTGGACCGCCGTGTCAGGGGTGAGCGACCGTACAAGTAGTCGGCATTGGGCTTAGCGCCAGTGTGGGGCTCCATTGGTCTTTTGTTTGTCTCAATGTTTTCACCTGTCCAGAGGTGAAAGTTATAACGAGAGCCATCATGGAAAGAAATTGTTGAATCTTGAAGTGTTTCCGAACCCGACAAGATGCCGTTCAATGTCACACCGTCCATCCCTTGCATGCTTTCTTGTGCTTCTCAAACGGACTGAACGTGCTAGTCGTTACCGTACCGTAGATACAAAGGGGTCATTGATCAACCCAGCAGGGTCCAGGGACCGATTGCCTGCCGTGACGACTGACCAAGGGACGGGCTTGACGGGAACCTCAATTCCAACGACTGTGGGGACAAGTGGGAGAAGTGGAATCGAGTTGATGGAACCCCGATCCTCCCCAAACCTAAAAAAGCCCCCCTGTCGATGGCCACGGGCGGTGGCCGCGGTGGTGATGCGACTGATGGTTTGATTGGTAGCTTCGAGCGCCTTGGACGCGATACTGGACAGCACAGGTCGCTGATATCCGATCATCGCGACTTCCACTTGACGACAGAGGAATTGACTTTTGCAGTGTTCTTGTTTTCTTGTGCTGCCGGCGCATTGCCATTCGACATCGGCGCTGTTTTCTTGGGACAGAGGCCCGTTCCATTATGCGATTCGGAGATCAACAGGGAAAACACGATTTGCGACAGACCAGGTGTTCATCAACATTCAGCCCTCCATCAACCATCCACATACGCAAAACCAGTTCGTCACCAGGGCATAACAGTTGTCGAACAGACCCTCAACCCAGACAGACGGTTCCACGGTCAACACAGGGCGGGGTGTGTGTGCGCCCTTGTCCGCACCATAAGAGACGGCGCAAAGACATTGTCTGCCTGCTGCCGCGCCCGACGTCACCCCGAATCGCCCACCTGCAGTCGTGCGCAAGCGCAGTAATTCCGGCACAGGCGGACTGCTGTCACGGTTTCCCTTCATGCGCGCATCAAGCGACCAGCACAGGCCCCGCGCCCGCCGTGGGACGAACGAGAACGATCCGAAACCGTCCGCTTCCCCAACTTCATCACCGACCAGCTCGCCTCCAATACCGTCCTTTCGTACGATCCCGTCCACTTCGAATACCAATGCTGGCAACAGCGGCGCTGGCAGTAGCGTCTATGCCCCAGCACCTCCGCTTTCCCATGCGGCCCTTCAACAACAAACAATACTGCAACAGAAAACAAGGCGGCGTAGGGGGTCGCTGAGGAAGGTTGCTCTTTTGGGACGAGGGGCTCAGCGCGAAAGGCGGGAGAACTACCCGCCAAGCATCAACACACAGTTTGGGGTGGACGGTGCCAATGGTAGCAATGCACGCACATCCGGTTCGGGAAGCAACATCATCAAGAATAGCGGCTTTGGACTGGGCATCTCGGGCATTTCGTCCCGCCCCAGTGCCAGCATGGAAGAGTCGGACTCTGAAGGAACATATACGGCCAAGGGCACGAGCAGCAATATCACATCACCCATTGTGATGAGCAACGGTACCGATGACCCGACAATGACGAGCCCCACCATCAGCTACACCACCACCGACGACGAGGACGCCCTCCACATGGCCAGCTCCAGAGGGCCAGGTGTCATGCCGTCTCTCTCCCGCTCGTCGACCAACTCCTCCGTCAGCAGCCTCAACCTCCTGTACCCCGAGCGGGCCGCCGTCTCCCCGACTTCCGACTCCTACTTCCCGACCATGCCTCCCAATCGTTCCACACGCGGCCCCCTAAACACAACATTTAGCAACGGTACCAGTTTAGCCACCGCCGCCTCCAACTCAATCCAAGGCCGCCGCCGCACCTCGGCCCAACAACAACGAGCCAAGTCCCCGCTGAGCCTGACAACGCCGATGCCGCCCCAGGAAGCGGTTTCCGACTTTGACTACTACGACGACTACAGCGACACCGAGTTCTGGGGCTGGATTATTTTGTTATGCACGTGGATCACGTTCGTGATCGGGATGGGCTCGTGCTTCGGCGTGTGGAGCTGGGCGTGGGACGTGGGGACGACCCCCTACGCGCCCCCCGAGTTCGAGGACGACCCAACGCTGCCGATCGTCGGGTACTACCCGGCGCTGTTTGTGTTGACGTGGATGATGGTGTGGGTGTGGGTGTCGGTGAGCTGGGTGGGGATGAAGTATTTTAGGCATGCGAGGGTTGGAGGGGATTGATGAATGAAGGAGGGCTTTTCTGAGGTAGTAGGTGGTGGAGGGGAATGGAAAGAGGAGATTTGGATAGAGGGTAGTAGGCAGATATGGGCGATGTGTTATGGCAATGCAAATGCCGAGAGATAGAATACTAATGTCTATTGTTTACTTTTACGTGTGTGTGTAGAAAAGGGGTTCGTTACTTTGACCAAGAACTCGAATATCCATACATTCAACATCTTTTTGTTTTCGAGAACAGTGAACACAAGTTCAAGTCTCTTCCCCGGGCATTTTCATCCCGACTTCATTGTCCTTGGTTTAGTAATTCTAGACCAAGTCCCTCCAAAGCCAAAAGCCACGTGTGGCCGGAAACGTGGCTATCGTCTCATTTCATCCCAAACGCGTGTCTCTGTTTACTACGGCTCGGTTCCGACAATGAGTGCCACAGAGTACAGACACGGTTTCGCCATGTGGCGCTCAAACTCGCTATGCGGACGGTGAACAAAGGAAGATACCACAGAAGGGAAGAAAATCAAAAAGAACATTCCATTAGAGAAAGAGGGCTGAGAGATAATCTCGGAATGTTCCGTTGTCAAGACCGGGGAGGTATACACAGTTACAGACTGATGTAAGGCAAAGAATGACGGACAAGGAGACAAGGAAACCATGATGTTTGGAAGGGCAAGAGTATGGCCCATGATTATTGATCGAGTTGTGGCTCATCGATTGTTCTTGGATTTGTTTCATCGTGTCATGTCTCCTTCATTTTAAAAGGGATAACACGACAAGCCGGCGAGCAGACAGACAATGAAGACTGTTAATGTTGGGGCATCACGCCGTGTTGGAATAATAGGTATCCAACAACGGCGCTGGGAAAAGAATACTGGAACGAAACGAGAACAACAACTTTACCACCTCGAGTACAAAAGCGCTATACCAAGTGACATGCCTTCCTTCGTACGGACTTTCTCGTGCTACAGCATACCTACCACTCATCTCCCGGGACCAACACACAGCACAGTCGTTCGTCGACGCATTTCATGGTGTTGGGTTTTGTCGTTCTTCCCTCGATCATCGATTGCCTGTAGCGGGACGTAATGTTGTAATAAAAAGCCCCTATCATTACGATCGCGTGATCGATCACAACGGGCTTTTGACAAGGTTACCGGAGTTGCAATATAGCATCCATTGTATCCCCGTTGAGTAGTAGGGATAGGAAGATCGAGGCACCTTGATGGGCAGTCAGGTCAGGTGTCTTGGATCGGGCGAAGTTGACGTCGAGGTCGAACTGAACTCATCGTGGTCATCAACATCAAGGTGTCTCGTTACCTTGTCGTGCTTGTGTGGTTTGGTAAGCCGTAGCCGTAACCGATGTGCATCATGCAATTTCTAGAAGGGTCGGGGAATTTGTACTTTCGGAAATACAATTCAGAAGCGATCGGCATCAGCTTGGTTATAGGCATGTCAATCTTCAGGGAAGCCCCCAAGCCACCCCCCAGCATATCTCGCCAAGCCCTCGGGTCGTAACGGACTGTAACCGTGTAACTTCAGTTGCGATATGTATCCGGACTGTTGTTGTCAACATGTTAAAAAATCGTGCTAGTTTCAGACGAGACAAAATAGGCGCGCTTGACGGCCAGAAGGCTAAACCAACTGACATATTTATCCCCGTATTGCTCTTTTTTTTGTTCTTTCCATTGAGGTTCTCAACTGCAAGGGCGATCAATCGTCAAAGTCAGAGGGCGGTTGCGGCTGGTAGGATTTCAGGAAGCCGGTGCTGAAAACAATCAGTCTTGACCAACGGCATCCGTCATCAACTTGACCAAAAAGTTAAGCGCTCGCGCTTGCATCCTTCCCTCCGCCATGTGGGAATGGATGTAATGCTTGGGCTTTTTGGGTTTTTTTCCTTGGCCTTTTCTTTCTTCTGGCGGCAATCTCAGCCCTGGCGGAGACCCCAGTGCGGTTTTGGCTTTTGTTGGAAGTCGGCTTTCGAGATTTGAGCCGGGCAAGCGCTGGAGGCGTACCCGTTGGGTAAGAAGACCCGATGAGGTGACGGGGAGGTGGTGCCCTGGTCCTGTCGAAAATGACGGAAGGAGAGAGTTTCTGTACGAATTCTTTCGGAGATTTGTAACATTGGTAACATGTAACCCAGACTCGCCAAGTCCTAAATGACAAGCCGCCTTTCCCTGGGCTAGCATGCAAAACATACGCAAGATTTGTGAATATGGCGGTAGTTCCGGAAGGTCGATTGTCGTCTTCATGACGATATAGGCTGAATTTCTTCGTCTTGCCCGGATTTTTTTTTTCTGACGCTTGTGATGAAGAGGCGAGAAAATGCCAAGATCACCTGAGTGTGCAGCTCCGATGCTGGTGCAGACTGTCACATCGGCACCGGCACTCTTTCTGTGAGGGGACATGTTTCATAAAGAGGGGAAAGTCAATGTGATGGTTCCTCACACCCACACAACTGAAAATGACGAGAGCCGCTTTTCTCGAGTCGATGAGCCTTGATGCATAACGAACAAATCCGGGAGAGGTGGCGGGGCGGCCAAGAGCCATGCGTCGTGGTGGGTTACGGCGTGCGGTGATACAAGAGAATGATTTAATGGGGTTGATATCCTGCCATTGGATAGGCATGGGTTTTGGTTGCAACAGAGTGAGTGTCCAAAAAAGTTGATGGGCATAACAAGACAACTTTACGTCTGTACTAGACCGGCATGGAACCGTTTGACAAAGACGAGCAAGAAAAGCTAGAGCGGTCGACTGTTGGATGTGTTGGGGCAAACGTTCCCGTCATCTGGCTGGACCGTTCTGTGGATGTTGTGTCTGGAAATATCGGCGTCAATCATTGTTGATGGATATGATGTGCAAATCCATTTCTGCGCCGTGGAAAGATGCCCGGCCTCGATGGCCGGATGGCAAACGTCCATCCCCAGAATCTCATCCACCCCCGCACAATTCCATGTTTTAACTCCGTGTTGAACTCAACAGCTCGTCGGGTGGATTTGCCTCTTCCAACTTCCCATGTCCATGAGCATCATCATGTCAGCTCATGATGCCGTCCACTACGGTCATCTTCCGCCCCGATCCGCCGTCGAAAGAGCGGGACTGTTGTGGAGTGCTCCGTGACAGGCCGGTATTGTCTGGGTAATTACGGGGCACTTCGCCTCCGCTTGTCGCCTCTGAGCAAGCTGGAAATGAACGTAATTAATGCTAATGCAAAGGGTCTTTCAGCTCCAACGGTTACCATGCCAGCTTCGCGCAAATGTAGAGATAGGAGAAGAGGGGAAGGCAAAACAAGTTGAGAAGGTGTTTGACGGAATCATCGACTGATATATAAATGGGATGAAAAAGCGGCAATGGGTTGATTCATACTTGAAGCGGCTACCTGATGTCGCCTTGCATGTTCCTTCCGTCTGAAATTTACACAGAGGGAACCATCGGCGGTAAAGCAGACGCTAGTGCACGTGCCTTGAGCTTCCAGCCATAAATTAACTGTAGCGGGTCGTCTTTAGCGTGCGCTTCACCGGCTCAGTCTGTGCGGTGCCCTGACACTAACGAAGAAGCGTCTACAGAAAAACAAGCCTTTGAACTTTGATAGTCACAGCTGCTCCGCTTTGACAACCTGAGTGAGGTTCAGTTGACCTGAACGTTACCTGCGTTACGCATCTAGAGGTCTTTACCAATTCCACTTCCCTCCTGGCCTCTGGCTTCTCCCCATCCACTACGAACTCGGAAGCGCAACAGTCCAGGCATGAGCCGGCAAGGGTCAGTGACGACGCTATAATCTCCATCAGATTGACCCGAGGGTGGTCTCCTTGCTTCCTTTTGGTTTTCCACTTTCGTCAGCACGCTCTGCAGCTTTTTCCCAATTTTCTTTCTTTTCCCAGCTCCCACAGAGTTGAGGCATCATGTTAGGTTTCTGATTCCCCTACCTCTACATCCCATCTTTGCAGCCGTTTCTGCATCAGATTTTCTCAGCTATTTCCTTGCGATACCTGGATCAACTGGAAACCTCCACTTGGCCAAGCCAATCGCCAATCTTCGGTCCCGTCCCGGCCGTCCTTCCTCGCGCCCTGGTTCCGACCGCCCAGGCGCTCATTGCCCAGACTCCCAGGGTGCACTGCAACCAAAAGGGAACCAGCAAAAGGGCATTGCTTGTTTGGCCGTTGCTTGGGCTCAAACCCCAACGACGCACCGCAGCGCACCGCACCACATACTCCTGTACTCCTCACGCACTCCTCTCCGTTTCCTCAGCTCCTTCCTCCGATTCCGATTCCTCGTCCGCGGCTGAGGCATTTGACCATCGCCCTCGTCCATCCCCATCAAACGTCCTCAGACGGGGTCCTAATCCTCGCGGCGCAACTCTCAGTCGACACAGGCGCCGAATTGAAATCTTGGTTTCGCCCCCAGCAACCCACTCCATCCAGAATCCGCTCGCATCATTTCCCATTTCGCCAATATCACGCTCTCACTACGACCAGCCATCCATCGTCCTCAAACCATCAACTATACATCCAAACTGCTTCAATTCTATATCTCGACCACATTGTGCGCGCGCTATCTCGATCGACCTCGATTCTTATCGCATACATACTCTTTAACCGCTTGACCACGGACCATTAGCCTCCGCGTGTCACGGTGCGACCACCTACAGTCTTAGACGTCCGACCGACCGTCTTCCGCCACAACCGTATTCCATCTTCCTCTCCCCGTCTGGTGCCTACCTCGTTACTCGTGGTAGCAAGCCAAGATGAGGGAAGTCAACTTCAGCATACCCAACGTCAACAAGGCGTCCGTGGGCATCACCACGGCTTTGTATGACCGACGAGCGCTCGACTGCACCTCGACCCTCCCGTTGATCAACTCGCTAAACCATCTCGCCTATCTGACCACGTCATCGGCCCGTATCCGAGACATTCTCACCATCGATGGTGGTATCGAAAGACTAGTCTGCATCCTGAAGGAGGGTCGCAGCAAGGATATGATGGACATGTGGAAGTGGAATCTAGCCTTCCAGTGCGTGGTCAACATAGGTGTAAGAGGCACAGAGAATGTCCGAACCCGCGTTGTTGAGGCCGACATGGTCCCCGTCATCGCTACCATCCTCGACAACTACATCAAAGTCATCGAAAGGGTCCGCGAGAAGGCCGAAGAAGCAAAGCACAAATCGGATCCCCATAACCGGCACAGGATTAGTGGCAGCAGCCGGGTGCACAAAGCCGCAAGCTTCTCCTCTAGGCCCACCAACGTAGACGTTGACCAACGCGCTTTCCGTCGTCAGGCTGCCCCTCAGCCTATTGATGTTTCAGTTGCCTTGGCTGGTCCTTCGACGGAAGCCGCTGCGCCGGATACTGAGACAACTCCGACCGCTTCCCGCTTCTCCGGTCAAATCCTTGGTGAAAGGACTCCTTTCTCTGCACACCGCTCACATCACCATCACCATGGTGTTAGAACACAGGAATCACAATCGGCTGTGCCCTCGCCTACTCGTCATGAAATTCAGCCGCCTACATCGGCCGGGCCATCATCTGTTGAGAACGTCGATGGCTTTTCCAGAGCCGTGCGGGAAGCCGATCGCCTACGGAACATGGCGCCATTTGCTCACGCAAACCTTACATCTCAGCCTGCCTCGCCAACAACTCCTTTGCCGACTAACGTCCGGCCCCCTTCGATCCTGGCCCCCAATGGCCGCTCTCGCCGTCGACCTTCAATTCGTCATCAACATTCCACCGCTGCCGAGACAGACGATATGAACACCGATAGCGTAGCATCCGATGAGACTCAGGATGCTGAGATGTCAGGAACCGCAGACGTACAAAACGAGGTTGGAATTCAGCAGGTTGCGGTCGAAGATGGTGATGGTATAATGACTGGTGCTGCTCTTGACCTGGCCACCCCGCCGGCTTCGGAGGCTCAGGAAGCTGGAACCTTTAACATCACCCACCAAGGTGCCGTGGACGCCAGCATGGAAAACACCACAACACCAACTCAAGTAACCAACCTTGGTCTGTCTCCAAATAGGCCGACCATTGCGAACACCGCACAACCGTCCATGCCCAATTCAAGTGTCCCGCGTTACCTGCTGGATCGCCATGTAACTCCGAACCCGCAGATGCTCGCTGCCATGCCCAGGGAGGAGGACGTGTTGATGTCGTTGCAGCTGTTGGCCTACGTATCAAAGTATTGCAATCTTCGCAAGTACTTCCAAAAGTGCCACCTTGTTCCCAAGCTCAAGATTGGCAAGGAGATCAAACTTCTCGACGGCATTGATCCCGCCGAGCTGGAGGCGGAATTGGAGGCAGAAGAAGAGTGCGAAGAGGAATACCTCCTCCCCAATGATCAAAACATCTTCCCCCTCGTGGAGAAGTTCACAGTCCGGTACCACAGCACAGACATGCAATACTGGGCCGGGGTGGTTATGAGAAACCTGTGCCGAAAGGACGATACCCGGGGAGGCATCCGACAATGCGCTTACTACCAGTGCGGAAAATGGGAAGAGTACACAAGGCAATTTGCGAAGTGCCGCCGTTGCCGTCGTACCAAATACTGCAGTAAGGAATGCCAGAAGAGTGCATGGGCTTTCCACCGCCATTGGTGCATTGCCGCCACGCCATGATTTGGACGTTTACGGAACGATATCCGTTATTGATACCCCCCGGTACACACCTCCCGGGATTTGCTGCTTGCATGGCGTTTTGCGTCTAATGTCTACTGGGAAGAGGAGTTGGGAACTTTTGGGGTTGGAGCGGCATTACGAAAGCAAAGCATATTCTCCTGTTGCATGGCGTTGCGCGATACATATATCCAAGGCGGTTCAACGAACATGCATCACACACAACTCATGCATTGATTTTCTTTTACAACCTCAGACACAGTCCATACGATTTCCCCTTGGTTTCAGTTCCTTTTGTCTTTGCTTTACATTGATGCTTTTACCCGGCTGGGTGCAGTGTCTTTGAAAGTCTATACATTACGACTACCCGTCTTCGCTAGATCAAATTCCAATTGGTTCTCTCAATTTACTGGAATTCCGAATTATATCAACACTAGCAAACACCTGCTTCCTATATTGAAACCCGACACCGACATTGTCATGAAGCCGATTAGCGTTCAATGATACGAGCGAAAACAAAAAACGCATTGACGTGAAGGAGAGTTCGCATCGCACCTCTTTCTTTTCCCGAGGGATCTGGACCAGGATTGGGACTTTCGGTGGGCTTTGGAAGGTGGGGTGGTCGGATGGATGGTGGGAAGGCATCATCGGGATTGGCGTTCTCTCTGGTTTCGTTTTTTTGCAAGCATGTTGATTAGGTTGTTGCTCTTTTTTACGGTTACCTAGGCATGGATGAAGACAGAGTTAAGCGGGTACACACGCATACACACAAACATATACGTTCGAAGGGTCTTTTTTTCCCATTTCATTACGTTCCTCCCTTCAGTGATGATGATGGTGATGATGATGGTGATGGTGATGCAAAAGTGTGTGCGAACAAGCAATGAGGTAGTCGGAAAAGGGACATGAGATGAGCATCCAAATGATGAACAAGATATAATGACATCGGCTGGATACGGCAAACAGTTGCCGGGGAAGAGTTACGTTTCGGGAGAGAAGCAAGGTTGGGGGACAGAAGGAGAGCTCAGACAGGGAGTCGGCACAACACACAGCTCCAAAGGTTCTTTACGCACTTGCTTCTGTACTCTGAAGGGATGAAAATATTGGCATGAACAGATGGAACTACGACATGGGTCAAACTATACCAACACTTTACTCAACCTATGATGGTTGTGTACCACCGCAAAGATACGAACAAGGTCAGCGAGTCTCGGAGGCCGTGGACATGAAGAAGGCACACAAAGCAATTTATGGAAGCCACAGAGAATATCACCGGAGTTTTAAAAGATGACTTCACATTGGAGTTCAGTCCTTGGTTATTCCATTGACACAGTTGAAGACCGCTTGATGTCCCTCGCCTAGAATCCATCGAAAGTCTAGTATCCAACGGTTGTCTGAACTCCGATTCCCAATTCCCAAGTAGAAGTCGTTGAAACATCGCTTTCGCATTCCTCCAATGTCAGGTCAGACTTCCACCTAGACATCCAAACGTCCCCTTCATCTTTGACCAAGTCCCCGATGATGCCGAAAAAACCCAACTACCAGGGGCAGGAAGTCTGGTGAGCAAAATCAGTCAAGTCATCTTCTCGCTATCTCTTTCCCGTTTCTCTCATTTTTCCTCGTTCCTTCCTTATGTCTCCTCGTTCCTTCCTGATTTCTCCTCGTTCCTCCCCCGCCTGTGTAACTAACTCACCTGACTATCTTCCTAGAATACTCTAGCAAGTCCCATCAACCCACTGATTACAAGTAGGTCCATAGCAAGGAATACTGGCAATAACACTTGCCGCTGCTGCAAGTGCAGAACTGAGGGCCACTTGCCGGCCCGCTCTTCGAGTTTCTCGTTACCACCAGCGGCAGTGGCCGAGAGACCGAGGGGCTCGGCGGCGGGGGCGGGAGCGGCCATGGCGCCGAGGTTGGTGAGGGTTGTGAGGAAGAGGGTTAGGGTGGTGGTGGTGAACTTAGATTTTGGCATCGGTGGTTTGGTGGTTGAGTTTGAGTGGTTGACTGGGTTGGGTGTACTGTGCTTGCTGGTGAGGAGTCGAGAAACGGAGAATGAAGATGATGGGTGTTGAAAGGGGGGGGCTTTTATACTCGCTGGATTCGAAGAGTTGGCCACGACCAGGTCCAGTTTGGTCTTCATCGTGTTTCATGATCCCATGCCTCCTCCTCACTGTCCGAGTCCGCCCCCCTCTTCTTCCGTGTCATGACGAAGCGATTCCTAGTTGTCGATAATTCAGCCTGAGTTCGTCCATCTTCCCGACGGAGGTTGATGTCTTTGTTGTGGGTGTTTGAGAGGGGTTGTGGTTGGCACAAGCCACTGATGAGTTGACGTCGAGACTACATGTTTCCGTCGGAGAAAATATAGGTGGGTAAGCCTAATGTAAGGAGGGGGTAGGCTTCCGCTATCTCCGTGAAACCAAGCCGTAGAGATCTTGTTGACACTAACGGGCAATCAAACTTCATTAGAGATGCTATCCAGCTGGTATTCGAAACCGAAGATATGAGGAGCATGATCCTCAAGATAATCCTTGAGAACCGGGTGTTTACAAAGACAAATGCTGGAGTTGAGACGTCACGAAGATTGTTTGTAAACCAAATATTACACGTAGTTGGACAAACAAGGCTTATAGTCGTATAGTTCCATAAATGCCAGATTCTTTAAACAACCAAACCATCAATAATGCCACAGACGAAGTACAACCAAGCCCTACCATACCGACTCCCTCCACGGACACTCGGACCGTGTTCATGGAGTTAGTGTACCACTCTCGCCAAAACCATCCCTTTTAAAGGTCTGACAGCATTACTTGGCGTCCATCAACACATGCGCACAAGCGTGATTATCTCCGGAGCTCGGGAGCTCGGCTAGCTGGCTAAATTCCTAGGGCCGATGATGGATCGACTTAACCAACTGTGAGGCTGAGGCGCAGACAACGAAAAAGCCAAAAGCAGAAGCAGAAGCAGGAGGGCTATGGCTTCTTGGTCAGTTTTCTTGCTAGTCACTAGCGCGCGTCTCAGTTGGTTGTTTTTTTGCCTTCTATGGACTTTTCGCATTGTAAGTGACTGAATGAAGGAAATACTTACCAAAATGCAGGAGAAACTAGGTAAACCTTATAGATATGAGTTTGTCGTGCTGCTGCCCTTAACTTCTACCATAGAACCGCGCGGACAAAAGCTGGGAACAAGAGTCAGTATTCACTTGTGAAGCAAAATGCCTTTGGAGATGATAGTGAGCATCGAAGGTGAGTGTGAGATGAACCACCTGGAAAATAAGTTCAGGTCAGTCAACGAGTTAGGTGACAGCCGGTTAAAGGCCAGGAAGGCGTTGATATCTCCGTCGGGATCTTCAGGTTTCGTTTTCTCTGGCAGTGGTCTTTGTTTCTTTATATGAGAGGTGAGGGAATTGGAATCGAGATACAAGTCGAGACGTTGTGATAACAAGAAATATTGGTTTGACTTTGAGCCCTAGGTGGTTAAAATCATCTCATTATCTATATAGGCTAGTTTGAGTTCGCTTGAGTGTATGGGTACCGTACCCGGTGTCGACTCGCTAAAAACCTCCCAAGCCTCCGAGTTATCTCATGGTACTGAAGGACATAACAACATGTGTACCCTGTTCTCAATCTTTTTGTCGTTTGTCGATACCAGGCGAGAGACGGTGTCCGGATAAATGACACATAGCTTGCCGTGTCTCTTCGACATCATCACCGTGTGCTTGGATTGCGACAGGGATTTGTCGTTCCTTCGATCATCCAAAGTGGAGTGGAAGGCTACATAGAAGCGCTTCGAAGACGTTTGGACGGCCGGTAAGGAGAGCCAGGTGATGCACTGCTGGCACCGAAACTTTATAGCATATCCTCAGATACATGCCGTGCTGAAGTAATTCTTCCCAGAATCCGATAAACGCTGATGATACTTGCACCAGTATCTTTTTCAAATTCTTCAGTTTCCTTCAATGCTTTCTTTCTCTCGGGTGTCCGGGTATCCGTCTCTCTACCAAACTGGTGAAATGCACAAAACATACATGACCGCTTTTTCTTTGGAACAACTCTCAAAACGAAAGAAGGAAATTGAAAAGCAACTGATCCACCCCATTGATTCCATATCTCTCCATTTTGTTCTCCTTGAATTCGCGCTGTGTGCCTCCTTTAAGATCATTAGGTGAATGAGAACTAGTTCAGTACCCGGATTTCGGAAATGGCGAGTTTCCTTCCAAGCTTTGATAAGCAGACGGAGAGCTGGCTGTTTGATGGTTGGCGAGATGATGTTGGATTGATGGAGGTTTAGATGCCCCCTATTAGTACGATAATCGGCAAGATAATACGCCCGGAGGTATTCGTATCCGAAAACGGTGGCCAAACAAACTCCTTCTAGTGCTGAATCTGGGACTCTCCACTGTACGGTCCAACGCCGCCGACAACCTTTTTGTCGGGATTCTGGCTGAAGAAGGTCGTTGCCGCCTTGCCCTTGGGGCACTGCTTGTTCGGGTTTCCTTCGTCCTTGGTGACCATGACCTTGGTGCACGGCGTGAACTTGTTCGCACTAGAAGTTTAATCTAGCTTCTGCAGTTGACGGTCCATTCGTTTTGTTTGCGGTTGCCTCCTCATAGGAGGGCGGTGCCGGTACTGGAGGTTGTGTAACCACTGGTGGTACTTGTTGACCGACACTCGTTCTCATGAGTTTCAACCAAAACCACATTCTCCAGAATAGCCAAGTGAGAATAAACAGGAAACCACAAAATCAAAACCGCCCCAATACCCTTCGCAAACGTTCCGGGCTCGTCCTAGCATTTGGCCATCGGTCTTCAATAATCGTCTTCCAATTTTTTTGGGATTCCGTCCTCACGAATTCCTCAAGACCAACCGCCACCCAAAGAAAGCATCCTAAACCCACCCAAAATTCCAAGGTTTGGCCTGCGTATAGTGCAGTGTTATGGGATGGACAGGCTATAGTTGCATTCGGGGTGGTCGTAGGACAAGATGCTACGAGCGTACTCGTAGGTATACACGTATTCGTGGCTGTAGGCGCCATTTTCTCCCGAAGATTCGTCCAAATCTCGGACCTCTTTGTCGTCGACACGGGACAGATTTTGCGGAGGCTCGGCGACGATGCGACAGGCGGGCGCGCCTCGGCCGGTATTTCTCAGGGCGAGACGATTCAATAAGCGAATGAAAAAAAGCAGATGTCGACAACGGAATGGGTTGCCGTCACTTTGTCAGGGGAATCGTGCTTCGCGGGTTGGAGGCCGTGGCCGTTCTGAAACACAAAGAGGAGTTGAGTTGTATTCGAGGGTGACAAGGAGTTCGTTTCCAACACACGCTTGAACTTTCTTTCGAAGGGCGGATTCTCCCGTAGGGGTGGTTTAAGGCCGAGCTATACCCAACCAGGCGACGTGCGAGGCCAACGTGGTAGGGGGTCTTGGATTTCCTGGAGGTCGCCTTGTTAGTTTGGAGTTTGCGGTGCCACAAGAGTGAAGAGTGTACTTACTAGCTTCAGTGGACGGACGGGTGTTGCGATGGGGCCCACGAAGAGGAATTTGTCGTTGGTGCTGGCTACTGGTAAAGGTGAAGTTGGAGGGTTTTCGAGAGGTTTGGATGGGGGTGGGGAGGTAGACCGAGGTAATGGAGATAGATCGCGATAGCGGGACCACGGTCTTGATAGCCACTCGGGGGGGAACTTGTTTGTGCCGAACGAAACGATGAACGATTAATGGGCAGTGGATGACAACGGTGAACGGGTACTGAGTATCAATATCCTGTTACTGAATGGAGGTCGGGGTTAGATGGGTTTACATTGTTAGTTGGAGTGGGTAATGTGAGGGAAACTTACGCGATTGTGGGTGAAGTTGGTTGCCGGAGGAAGAATCGAGGAGAGGGATGAAGCGCAGTCTAGAATAAATACACCTTGGGACTTGAGTAGTGGAGGGGGGCGACTACCATAGGGAGCTTGACGTACGGGATAGGCGACGGTTAAGGTTTCCGATATTAGTATCGAAAAGTGGTAGTAAATGTAAAGAAGAAAGTGGGAGCGAACGAGAGGGGAAAGAACGGCCCAAAATATAAACCCCTCTTACGTGTCGCAGTGTGGCAAGCCTGGAGAGGCAGCTCTTGCAGCGGAAGGAGGCAGGTGCGCAAAGACGTTAGAACTTGCCAGATCACTCGACTTTGATGCGTCGGAGTTATCGACTTGGATTTTCTAGCTGTTTCCTTTCCCACCTGTCTTGGATGAAGGTCAAAGGAAATATCTCCGAATTGCGTCCGGAAGTTCCTTGCAGATGCAAAGAAGATGTATGACACTGCATCGAAACCAACAGATCCCGGGTCCTCCGGAAGAAAAGAAACCCGCCGCCGAAGTTAGTAGGAGATGCGACGGTGGACGCTCGACAAGGCAGAGAAAAAACCTCCAACGAGAAGGCCATCTCAACACTCGTCATCGAGCGCGCTGGACTGGACATAATATGGAGGTGTGTATAAGAGAGCCGCGTAGGTAGTCATCCCTCACTGAATCCGCCTCTCCTCATCACCCACCCTCACATCCTCGCTCAGCAAGGGGTCCGAATCAGAATCCCCCTCACCATCCGCCTTCGCTCCCGCCGCATGACGATAAAGCACATAATGCTGCACAATAAACACCAAGTCGTAAATCATCGACACGTTCCCCAGCGCGAACTTGACCGGATTGCCCGTAATACCCGACCAGTCCCCCTGCTGGTAGCTATCGATCGCCTGCTGCGCAATACTCAAAATCCCGCCGCCAAAATCCAACAGAATCTGCAGGATGCTCCACCCCTCGGTCGACCGGTTGCGATAATTAACAATAACCTGCGGCGTGTACTTGATTAAGGTAACGACGAGCTTGACGTACGAGACGGCGTAGATGGCGTCTAGCCAGACCCAGCCGCCCTCCGTCACCGGCGCGCCGCTTGTATCGTTGCGGACCGGCGACGCCCACACCCGGAGAATGATGATGAGAGCGCCCGCTACGCAGCCGAAAAAGGTTCCGAGGATAAAGCGGCTGGGACGGCTGCCGAGGCTCGGGGCGAAGCCCCACGCGCGAGGGAAGAGGTACTGGCTGACGGTGACGAAGCAGAGAATGAGGCCGTGGAAGGCAAAGGTGATGTCGTTGAACTGGACGGTCGGCGTCAAGCCCTTGTAGCGGGCTGCGTACTGGGCGCGGATTAAGGGGGAATAGACGAAGGCGATGTTGGAGACGGTGTAGGCGAAGAAACCTGCTTATTCGTTAGAAGCTTGATTCATTTACATGGTAATTAGGTGAGTGAAAAAGCTTAAACTGACCTAGCGAGTTGATGAGAGGAAAGTCTATAGTGGTTCCCGACGTTGACTTGCGCGAGAAGTTGAGGATTGATTGGGGATAGAACGAGAGAGACCAGCAGGTGAAGTACGTCCAGCCAAAGACGTACGACAAGCCGGTCAAGAAAGTGGAATCCGCCATTGTGTAGCACAGCAGGCCGACATGAGATGCCTAGCACGATGGAAGTCCGAGAACGCTGAGGCGTTGTGCTACATGGATGTGATGAAGTTGGTAAAAGAGGGACGTGCATGGGAATGGTAACCTGAAAGGTTTAGATCCAAACGTCATCACGTGTGTACAACCGCTTACATAAACTATATGTGCCGTACAAGGACGACGAGCTGTGTGATCTTCTTAGTCGTAAAATGAAGGGATATTCTTGAAATCATATCCGCTTTGTGTCATGTACAACTATCTTCCTTGCTCTGCGCACTTCTCACGATGTCTTCAGAGTCAGGTGGAAGGTCAGTGGCATGAGAAAATGGGACCGCAACAACCCTAACCCTGCTAGTTGATGATAGCAGGGACGGCATGAACAACCTAGCGGACAGGAACTAGAAGCGTTTGAGAAGCATGTAATTTTGCTGAGCAAATAGCTAGCTATGTTGACTAGATACTCACTAAAATTGGTGTCGTTGAGCCCACTTGGTCGTGACTACATAGCCAACTGCCCCGACAAACCAACTGTGACCTCGACTCTCTGGCCATGCACTAGCAATGACCATTCGAGGCTGTAGATACTTCCCACCCCCTGGACCGCCCTTTTACATCGGCCCCGAGGCTCCCTTCTCCTTGGCTTGATCACTACGCGTTCGAACATGGCTATAGGGTTGGAGCTTTCAAGCTACCATTCAGACCCTTTTATCTACTCTCCCTTCATCATAAAACGCATCATCGTGTCCTCATCAGGTTCGAGCGTTCGCATCAAAGGACCATTCGGCTTCCCTGTGCGTTTACTCATCCTCGCCTTTCTCTTTCAAACATAACTTCGATAACGCCGATTCAAGGGGTATGGTGTGGTGAATAAGCGTGGGGGGGCACTATGAGATTGAAGCAATATAGTTCTGCCGTGTTGTGACTTGTGTGTGGGCGAATGAACTCGTATGGGGAGCCGAAAGGCTGATGGGGTAAGACGTTCATGGTAGGAATTCCCAGATAGTGCCGTAATAAGCATCACACCTGGGTCCACTCATCCCAATCTTTGACTCAACCCTCCCTTTCGTAAACAGAACTAGACGGATTGTACAGCATTTACATGTCCATCGACTCGGTGCCGTTAGCACCGAAGTTGAAGCCACCCTGCTGGGCACCACCGGAAGCACCGAATCCAAACTGCTGCTGAGCGCCCATGGCCTCATCACCGGCCTCGTCCTCGTCAGAGAAGTACTTCTCAATGATGTTGTACGCCTTCATGTAGATCTCCTCGTTGGCGTTGGTCTGGCAGTCGTGGATCTTCTCCATTCCTCCGCATTCCTCGATAAACAGGGCATAACGGTTGATCGAGTCGGGGCCGTCGCCAGCGGCGTTCTTGTCGAGCTCACCAACCTTGAGAATGTTCTCAAGACCATCCAGGGCAACCTGGATAATCTTGTTGTCGGGGCAAGCAAGGAGGTCGCAGAGCGGCTTGATGCAGCCTTGAGCAACCAAATACCTGATCTGATCGGGCTTCTGGAGACCACCCGAAGTCGCGTTGCTGATGGCCCAGCAGGCCTCCTTACGGGTCTTGAGGTCGGCGTGGGAGAGAAGGTGGATCAGAGGAGGAATAATGTTGGCGTCAATGACAGATTGGATCTGAGCCGAGTTTCCAGCAGTGATGTTGCTGATGGTCCAGCAAGCCTCCTTGCGGATGCCGTCCTTGTTGGAGCTCAGAAGAGACAGGAGGCAGGGAAGGGCACCGCAGTTAATGATAACCTGGGTCTGAACATCGTCTCCCGTCACAATGTTGCCAACGGATCTGAGCGCGGGCGTCTGAACAGAGGTGGAAGCGTGCATGAGGAGCTCAACAAGACGCCTGGGAATGCCAGCTTCAATAACCGCCTGGATCTTATCGTTAGATCCATCCGAGAGGTAGGAGATGGCCCAGCAAGCGTCAATAAGGACCTCATCGTCGAGCGAGTAGACGAGCTTGGCGAGAACTGGCAAGGCAGGGGCGATCTATGATGGATCAGTAAACATACTAGATTGTTCATGTTCGAGAAAACTAACCGTGTTCCAGTCGGGCTGAGGAGTCTTGCCACGGCAGAAGTTGCTGAGAGTCCAGGTAGCGTTCCTGAGCATGCTAAGCTTGCGGCTATCACCAAGGAGGGTCAACAGAGGACGCAGAGCACCGCAGCTCAGAACGTAATCACGGCACTGAGGGCTGTCGCCGGCAATGTTGCCAAGAGCCCAGACAGCCTGCTCGCGGACATCAGGCTCGGGGCTTCCGAGAAGCTCGACGAAGATGGGAACAGCACCAGCCTCGATGACAACCTGGGTTTGAGTGGCAGAGCCCGAAGCAATGTTGGTAAGGGCCCAAGCGGCCTCGAACTGAACCAGGGTGTGGGGGGAGCGGAGGAACTCGACGAAGCGACCAACGACGCCGGTCTTGATAACCTCCTCAATGGGAGGGTTGCGCTCCTTGCTGAGCAACTTTCTGAACTTGGTGGTCGCCTGAATCTGCTTATCGATCTCACTGGAGAAGACACCCTCGACCATCTTGGGGAGGTCCTCGCTCAACTATAACAGCTGGTTAGCATGTTGAGATAAACCATGACAAAAATCGGGACGTGACGAAAGTTAGGGTGATTTGATGCCGCATTCAACGTCGGCACAATGTTTAAGTTTGCGCGCGCAGCTTGAATGCAGGTTCGGCACTGCCTGGGGGTTTGTGGCTCAAGCATCACCATCATCGGCGGGGTACAAGTGGGGGAGAAAAGGGAGAAGTGACGGACGGACGCAGTAGCGACATCGCAGCCGATCATGTAAGGGGGGTGGGATATGGAGGTTTGCATACCTGAGACTCGGTGGGAGGGTTCTCATCGTCACTGTCGGGGGCAGCACCAAGGGAAGCTCCAGGTCGCGAGTCGCCAGCACCAATACCGCGCCTCTTGGCCAAGTTCTCCTCGCGCTTCGCCTTGCGAATCTCGACCTGCTGTTCCTCACGACGGCGACGAAGCTCATCGGGCTTGAAGGCGCTCTTGGCCTTGAACTGGGTGCGACGATGCTCGGGAATGTACCGGTCAGCCATGGTTGCGATGTGATGTCGAGACGACGGTGTCCAGACGGGTGGGTGATGGTGGTGATATTGGAGGCGGCAAACGAGGGGCGATGCAGTCGATGAAGCCCCGGCGATGAAGTTGCTACGAGCCGTTCAAAGGTAGGTATATGCGATCAAAGAAGTCGAAGAATCGGATGAGTCCAGTTGATGCGGTCCTGCCAAAGCAATCCTGGATGGGGGACGAAGGAGAGGATGGGTGCGTTGTCGGCGAGACGGAAAACGTCAGAGAAGGATTGGTTTTGGGGATGGGGCAGGTGGGTTGTGTGTTTTTTGAGGAGCGACGATGAAAGAATTTGGGAGTTCGCCCGCGCCTCAAGCAGAAAGCGGAAACGAGAAGGCGGCCTGTCCTCCACTTTCCACCTCCACGAAGTGCGGGCAGTCACTGTGCCCTGCCACTCACAGTCACAGCTGCCACTCAGGCCTGAAGGTGGTCCAGTCACTGCACGCAGCGCCCAGTGCCACCCACTGGCCAGTGACAAAGTGCCACTGCCCGCCCGCAGTACAGTACAGTACCACTAGCGAAAAGAGTTTGGCTTCTGAAAGTGGGGATGGAAGAGTCAAGCTCGAGCACAGGCCACTTGAGCAGCTATGTACCTTGTACGCTGTTCTTCGTGTGCAGGTACTTGTCCACCATGGCCCCACCTCAGAGCGGCTGGACCCTCCAGGCATTCTTCTCATTCCTTCCATATTGCTTCCGTCTTGCTTTGAACGTCATGGATTGTTTTCAGGTTACATACCGCCCGTCATAACTTCATCGACCTCAGGCCGCGTCCGTCAAGCCGCAATCTTTCCCCTTGATTACGATATGTTTTAGTTACTTGAAAGAACGACGTCAAAAGGCCACTCTCAACCCCATCTTTCTGGGTTGCGTCTTTGCTTGCGTATCGATCCCTTCAGGTTGTGCTGGGAGGCTGGCCTACAAGGCCCTGTTCGATAGTCCCCAACCCTCATGACTAAGAGAAAGCACAGACCATACGTCTAACCATTACCGTAGCCCTGCAAGGCTTGCTAAAAGCACAGCGCTTGAAGCCTGGAAGGTCTGGCCCGGCGGGAGGCCAAGACCCTTGCACATGCGGTCGCGCAAGCTTGGCGATTGGCAGGTGCCATTTCCGCCTTTGAGACGCGTAAAGTGAACGCGTAATGTACAACACTGGACCCAAAGTTACCTTACGCTTCGTAACTATCACGACGAAACCTTGTGGTGTTCTACTCACAGAACCATCCGGCGCCATGTAATCGGAGTAGCGAGACGGGATATCCAGATGATGCGCCCGCTCAGAGACAGGAAACCGGCGCCCAAGGCAACAAAGCCACCTCCTTTTCCACAAACATTCACACCCCTCCGAGCTATTCTCGACGACGACGGCGATGCCCAGCCTGGGTCTATGGTTAATGTCATTGGCGTTCTTAAAGACTGCCGAGCTCCCGTCGCGACACACGGATCGGACTGGAAGTGCACTCTGACCATCTCTGACCTGTCCATTGAAGATGAACCGGCAGGAGTTGAGCTCGTCATCTTCCGCCCCGAGGCGCGGATGCCCGAAGTCGGCGCAGGAGACGTGATTGTTGTCCTAAGCGCAAAGATTCAGAGGTTCAAATCGAACCCGAAGTCTCTCATCACCAGCAAGACTACCACCATTTGCGTCTACAAGGCTAGGAAAATACCCGTCTATCCCGCTTCAGCACAGGTAGCACTCTTGCCCCCCAAGCCGGGTGAAAGCCACAAGCTGCTGAAGGAGGAACACCACCAGTATGTGTCATACTGCTACCATGTGATTGACAAGTACGACGTTCCCGACGAGGCCGAATACCAACAGAGAGTTACCGTATCACTGAACGTCAAAGACAAGTTCAGTCTCCTGAAGGACGTTACGGACGGCAAATTCTACGACTTAATCGGCCAAGTCGCCAAGGACCCCTACACCGACGAGATGGGCCGAGTCACCCTTTACCTCAGCGACTACACCGAAAACGACCTCTTCTTCCATTACACCTGGGAAGGGGTTAGAGACCTCGCATACGCAGCCAGGCCAGCCGATGCCTACCCCGAAGACAACAACCCGGAAGCCGCCCAACAACACCCATGGGTCGGCCCCTACGGCAAACGGACCATCCAAATAAGCTGCTACGACGCGCATGCCGACTTCATCCGCGAAGCCGGCGTTTCAGCCGGCACCTGGCTCTCGCTGCGCAACGTGCAAGTCAAGTTCGGCCGCAACGGCGCGCACCTTGAGGGCTTTCTCAGGGAGGAGCGCAACGCGTCCGCGCGGAAAGTCAATGTCGAGATCCTCGACATCGTCGCGCCGCACCCCAGCGTTACCAAAGAAGAAGTCGACCCGCGCCTCAAGGAGGCCGTCCGCCGCTGGCGCGATTACTCACAGGAGAAGAAGACGCAGATCAAAGCGGTCAAGGCCGCGCAGGAGGCTGGCGCTAAGCGGAAATTCGCCAGAGCTGGCAGCAACGATGAGGTGCTCCTCGATGGTCAGCCACCCAGTAAGAAGTTAACGGCCAAAGAACGGCGCAAGCTGCGCCGCGCCGAGTTGGAGAAGAAGGCGGCTGAGGAACAGGAAAAGGCCGCCCTAGGCTTGAACGAGCTGGTCACATGCGAAGCGCACCCGAAGGCTGTGTCGACGCTCGCCTCCATTCTGGGGCCGGTCATGTACGAGACCATGGTCGATAACCAGCCCGTCAGGATTCCGCTGCCGTTTACCAACGCCAAGTATAATGCTCGAGTCCGCATCGTGGACTTTTTCCCGCGCAACCTGGAGGATTTTGCTTGTGGCAGGAAGCGGACTGAGTTTGATATACTGTCGGACAACGATGACAACGATGACGATGACGAAAGTGATGAAGACAACCTTAACTCCACCATGGACGCTTCAGACGATGAAGACCATGACAAAGGTCGAACATGGGAATGGCGCTTCGCCCTCCTCCTCGAGGACGCCAGCGCCCCGTCATCGCCCGCCACCTCCACTACTGCGGCAGACAAAAAACGGAAACGTGACGACCCCAAAGCAAGAGCGAGGCTCTGGGCAACGGTAGACAACACAGAAGCACAATGTCTCACCGGCTTGGACGCCGTAAACCTCCGTCGAGACCCCCACACTTTGGCTACCTTGCGGGAGAGGATGTTTACCCTCTGGGGAAACCTGGAGGAGCTCAAGGCTGCTAAAGCTCGTGCAGCGGCCAAGGAGAGGGAGGAGAGAGGCGAGGGCGAGGGCGAGGATGGGAATGGAAATGGGAATGGCAGGATAACGAAAAGGCATAAAGGAGGAAAGGCGACGACGGTGGTACAACTGGAGAATTTGAAGCCACCGCTGGAGGACTCGGATGGCGAGCAGCAGCAGCAGCAGCAGCAGGATCAAGGGGAGGAAGAGATTTCTAACAAACCGTTTAGTTGCTGTCTGAAGCAGTATGGCGTTCGCGTGTCGGAGGACGATGACGGGCTGCCCAAGACGGATGGACCTGCGGGCGGGTGGGTGAGGGTGTTTGGGATGTTTGGTACCAAGATATGTGTATGAATTGGATGATACCTATTTGCTGATCCATATTGGTCGATAAGACTATTGCACCACTACACTTTATCGCAATGAGCTGTGCTGTACGACTTAAAAGAAGCCGGCAAAAGTCACGCCCTATGTGCCTAGGTATGAACTCATGACCACCGTAACTGCTTTTCGAATCCATTATAATAGCGACTTTAAGAACCGAGAGAGAACACGATGAATGAACGAAACAATTGAAATCCGAGTCCTCAAGTAAAAAGCCTGCCTGCATGCCTGCCGCCCAATCATTTAAATAAACAGTGTCCGAGTCGCATCTTGTCTCTCTTCCCATCCATGAAACCGTCACCCTGTGGTGTGGTTACATAACTGCCCCCAAGCAGATATTTACTCATCATCCATGTCTTCGTCACCATCATCGTCCTTCTTACTCTTGCCATCTCCGTCTCCGCCTACATCCTCATCGTTATCCTCAATAGGATCATCAGCCAACTCGGTTCTCTCCTCTTCAGGCTCGGGAACGGCCTCAGGCTCCTCCTCCTCGATTTCAATATCCGACAGCTCTGAATCATCATCCTCCGCAGCAATGATCTCCGCACTGAGTGCCTGCTTCTTCCCAGCCGCCGCAGCACCAGCGTTTCCAGCAGCCGCAGGTCTGCTGTTTCGAGCCCTTGAGCCAGGCGCGGTAGCAGCCGGTCTCTTCTTCTTGCCAGCCGCTTTAGCAGCCGCCTCCCTTACCCTCGCCGCTCGGCCTTCATCCACGAGATACGCCAGCGTCTCCTTGAAGTTGTGACCAAGCTTGTTTTGGTTCCTGACCATCCGCTTCTTGATCTTGCCGGCCGCACCCTGTCCCGAGCCGCCCTGGTCGAGCACCTTGGCCACGATGGCGAGCACCATCTTGCCCGTGAGCTCGCAGAGAACCCGTTCCGCCTTGAGTTCCTTCCTTTTCTTCTGCACGGGCGTGAGATCGCTGTCGTCTTCGTCTTCGTCATCCTCCTCGTCCGAGGAGAAGTGCCCGATGGGCCCCTCGTCTTCGCCTGGGTTGTTCAGTTGCCTGTTGATGCAGCGGGCGTAAGCGCGCTCGGCGGCGGTGAAGATTTCGATTAGCTCGCGCGTGAGTCCGGGGTCGATGGGGTCCAGGAGCGGGTTGATCAGCGAGTAGTCGACGGCGGATCCCTCAGCGGCGTTGCGCTCGATAACACGTCGGACCGAGGCAAAGGCGACGTGCAAGTCACAGAGGGCACCGGTGGAAAAGAGGCGCAGGTCATCGTTGGTTCCACGCGAGGAAAGTGTCCACACGAGGTTCCTGACGAAGGACTGGCGCAGGGTATTGAGACGTTCGATCTGAAGGGCGGGATTAGGCCTCTGCTCGTTGACCGCGTCTCTCAGGGCACGAGCCTTCCACATGAAGTAGAAGAGGCAGGTCTTGACGGCGTAAGAAACTGCTTCATCTTCAGGGTCATCCAAGTTCTCGTCAACCTGGTCGAGCTTGCCACGCATAACAATACGGATAAGAATCTCGATAGCTGGAGACTCGGAGCCCTCCACCTGGCCGTCTGCCTCCAGCACCTCGATACAGTCCTTAAGTGTAACGAGTTTGCTGGTCTTCAGAAGGATGTTGCCAAGTTCAATAATGGCAGGCTCCTCAAGGTTACGACGAATACCCAGCTCGCTAGACTTGTCGAACTGCCGGAGCTTGTTGATGGTCTTATCCCACAGCTCTGACACCTTCTCATCTATCGTCTCCTCCAACGCGGGGTACTTTCTTCCATGTAACAGTGCCGTGGTTGTCTCTGCCAGCACACCTCTATCGATATGCCTGTCGAACTGGGTGCAAATTCCGTTTAATAGCCTGTCGTACGTGGTCGAATCTTGGCCGAGTTGCTGGTAAACGTTGAGATCCAGGGAGTGTTCTAGTCGTAGCACGGTAACGGCCGTGCGGGCTTCCGCCCCGTACTTGCTTAGAAGCTGGGGAATGATGGAAGCCAGCTTACGAGCAGCCTCTTCCGGGCCGATGAGATGGATACCTTCTGCTCGCAAGTGCTTTTTGCTCTTCTCAAGCTCAGCAGGAGCTGCAAGGCTCGACCGCACGGCAGAAGCGAGGACCTCCAGCAGTATAGCTTCTTCCCTGCCCTCAGGCGCGACTGCTCTCCGCAGGGCTGTCTCAACAGAACCCCCCTTTGACGCAGATTTTGAGCTTGCGCTAGAGGAGTGGTCGTACAGGAGATAGCCGGATAGCAGCTCCCAGTTCTTCAGCTGGTCAATCTTCTCATATAAGACGTGTCCAGCCAGCGAGATTCTGGTCTCGGGGGCGACAGCTGGAATCGCATCGACTGCGATATCGAGACTACGCGGAGGCTCAACGGGGTTCTCCTCTTCAATTTGTGTGTCGTAGGCAGCGAGGAGCTCAGCGAGGCACTTGATACTGACCCAATCGCTCCGTGGCGAGCTGAAGTCCTCCTCATCCTGGTCCTGGAACAACTCGTCGATGGCGTCCTCGCCTCCGATTTCTTCCACCTTGTTCTCGATGGAATCATTCACGCACCCAGCAAAGAAGTCAAGGACAGCTTTGCGAATGCGCAGTTCAGGGTCAAAAATCAGACGCCCGATAGAGTCGATCTCGTCCGGTTCGAGATTGCCAGAATCCTTCAAAATCTGGATGTTGCTGATGGCTACTACGCGTACGTTGACATCGGAATCCTTGGTGGCCATCTCGACCAGTCGTGGCCGGAACCGATCAATGAAATGACCGAGCTTTTCGGCATGGTTCTTGAATATCCTTCCCAGCTGCTTGAGGACCTCGTGTCTTGTTTGTGGCATCACGTCGGAAAGCATCCAGCCGAGGTATCGAAGATACTCGGGCTCCATGAACACCGTGGGGAGCATCCAAATCCAGTTGCCGAGCGCCTCAACACACTCGGTCCGTATTTTGGCATCGATATCGCGGTATCGGTGAACGAAGACCGTGTCGAAAATGTCCTGGATCTGATCCTTGCAAACATCACGATAGTGTTCGGCGTCTGTGAGGTTTTGTTGTATAGATTCGACAAGGCCGGCATTCTTGGATCCTTTGCCCTTCGTCTTCTCGAGCTGCTGCATGTAATTGCTGATACGCCCATCCAAGATCCCCGCCGCCTTGACAAGTGCCGTTTGAATAGCAAGCGCAATGGTGGTGGCTGTATGTCTGAATGGGCGAAGCGTCGAAGAGGACATGGATGCCACCCATCTGGAAATGTTCTCCAGTATCTGTACATCCTTGTACAGGGCATCTGTTTCATGCAAAACATCCACCAGGGATCTGAAAAAGCCGACTAGAAGATCGCGGAACGACCTAGTTGTTCTGGCCCGTGAAATCAAGGGGTAATCCGTAATGCCCTCCTATTATATTACGATACATGTATTAGTACAGGACACGCTTGCTATTGAGTGGGAGCTGAGCTTGGAGTGACATACCTCGGCATAAACATTTTGTAGATCCGCCAACCGGTTTTGGCAGTTATCAGGGTCTCTGATATCATCCTCCGTCACTCGCTGGTCGCATCCGGCAGACAAGAGGATGCAGTTGACGAGGTCGGTAAGGGCTTCGGCGTGGTCAGCCTGGTATTTGTGATACCACCGGGTCGCAACTTCGTTGGGTCGGTCGTCGGACCTAAAAATATCGGCTGTTGGACCTTGTCAGCATTGGGAGAAACACAAAGCGCCAGCGCGCTGACTGGGATTCGGACTGGAAGGGTGGCTGACTGTAGAGGCCCTCTCCCTCAGGTTGGGCGATTGCAACTCGAGCAGACTTCTTGGGCCTACTAGGAAGGCTGGCAAGGTTGTTCAGTGCCAGCGCGGGCGCGGACGCAGTCGGTTCTGCTGGTATTTGGGGACGCGATGGCGCATCTCCATTGATCTTTGGCTTTTTCAAAGCCGGTTTCTTGGCCTTTGTCGACTGGGATGACGGTTTCCTCTTCCTGGACCGCTGGCGCTCCTGCTCAACTTCACTGGCGTCGGGATCGTCGTCTTCATTAGGGTCCTCTTCGTCTTCGGGCGATTCATTTTCGCCGTCCTCGCCGTCGTCATGTTCCGACGCACGCTTGCGCTTACTGAGCGAAGTCGGTTCGGGGGTAAACTTGGCGGGGGCTTTCGTGACGCGTCCACTGCGGCGCGCAGTTGAAGTGGGAGTGGGCGAGCTCGTCGCAGTATTATCGGTGGTCTCCATGAGGGGCTGTCGGGTCGTCGTCGTCATTACATTTGTGAACGATGATGGCGGAGCGGCGTGGTGAAGAGAGCGACCCGGCGACTCTGTTCGGTGGTGGGTTTAGGTAAGGTACCTATTGACGCGTCGGGTGGGAGGTTGCAGTTGCTGCATGGAGTGCTCGCCCATCACCAGATATTATTTTGGCGGTTCCCAATGGAGCCCCACTTTATTACAGCTTGTCAACACTTGCTACAGTGTGCGCTGACCTTCCCGTCCCTCGGCTGATGAATAAGCTGTCTACTGCAATACTAGGCAGCACTGCCGGTATTGCAAGCTCTGTTACGAAATTTCTCTTTCTCACTTGCTAGTTGCGCTTTAACGGTTCTCATATGAGTCCATGAGAATTTTCTTTAGCAGTCAGTCTGGAATCCTGTGCTTTGTCAAGAATGCACAGCTGGCCACCGGTTGCGAATGTTTCACTTGGGAGAGCTGATATGTATCTACCTAGCTGGACTCTTTAATAGAGGCGCCACCCTCTTCAGGGGCGATTCAGCAACTGGGCAGTGTTCCTAACCGCTGCAACCAACAATGTCCGTGCGAGCGGTTCTCTTGGACCTGCAGGTACTATCGACCGTGCAGAATGCGATTGGGCCCTTGATTGTCCAACTGAAGTCATTGTGAAGAAGACATCATATGCGTTCGGTTATTCATTGCTCCTGCCAACTTCATTGTACAATGACCATGAACACCTTCCTCAAACAGGATGAAGGCCACTTTCTTTTCCCATCTTCACAGCTTCATCCCCCTTCCTCCAGATACGGCAGCGTCAGGCAGCTCCGGTCAGATTACTATCTTTAACAGACGCCGCATGGATTCAAGGGTAATACTTGCTTGTTTTCAAGACAACCCGTACTGAATTGAGGCTGTCACCAACCGTTATAGCACAGCTGAATGATGGTTTCAAACTTTAAATACATGTCCTCACATTCATCTGACACATAATAGTGCATGGTCTCCAAAGATCTCATCAATGCTCCCCTCCTGCACAAGCATCGATCCTATCCATATTCTCCCAGCTTCAACCTCTGGGGCACCAAACTTAACCACCACACAGCCCCTGACAAGGGCAGCGGACCAAAGCAGTCCACTATCCTTCTCCATCTTGAGTCTGTCACGCCGCCACGTCTCCGCCGCCGACAGTCCCTCGATGACCTCTGCCTTCTTCGCATTCTCACTCCGCCAGTCCCGCGCTCCGATTCGCGGTAAAGCAGCGAACTCGGCCAAGAAGAAATCGCCCAGAGACTTCATCAACGGCCCTCGCAGGATAAGCGTACCCATAATGCCTATTGCATGCATTGACTCACGCAGCGTCTTCATCTGTGGGTGCGCCTGTGCACTGTCCAGGATAAGGGAGTCCCGTACAAGAAGTCGACCTCCGCTATCATCGTCTCCCGGCAGCGTCCACACCTCGTTGCGACCAAGCCATCGAACAAAGCTCCAGTCCTCTCCCCGAGCCGACCGCCCCTGAGTGACCCAGTCCAAGAGGCAGAGCGAGGCATCCTTGGCCAGCTTGAAAATCTGCGTCTGTTCGTAAACGCTGCCCGCGAACGGCTGGACGGGATCCGGTAAAAGACAGAGGGCACCGCCTGATGCCACTTGTGCGCGCAGTGTCTGGCGCGTCACAATATCGGGTTTCGTAGAGGTGAAGACCTTGGTATGGCCCTGGGTGACAATGGTCAACTTTGCTTGTGGATGGACCTGGATTGAGAGGTCGACCTGGTCGCCACCAACCAGACCACCGCCATAGGAGAGGAAGAACACCAGAACGCTCTTGTCCTCGGCCGGCTTTGACGGGGAGATGAGCTTGAGTGGATACTGGTAGGTGATGGTCTCCAAGCCAGAGACTCCATCGGGTTGAAGCCGGGCGATAATCTTGCCCTCGCCGGCTGCCGACGAGGATTTTGGAAATGGCGAGTTCATAGTGGTGAGGCAATGTGCAATAAGTGTCACCTCATTTTAGGTATTTGAAGGGGATGACGATGCATGGCAATGTTGTTAAAGTGCACAACTGCTTGTCCGCTCTCGGAAGCTCTACCTTGATAACCCAGCGTGTTATTGATAATGGTAATGCTATTTGGACCATGCAGCTGAGTCGTTGCGGCCAAGTTTTGTGTGGGGCGCAACTCCCCGGTGTGGGTCGGCATGCTGACAAGGGCTGTGTCGATAGCAGCAGGGGTGTTCTTATCGGCTCCGCGCTGCAACGCTTATCAATTAAATTTATCTTTTTTTTCTGGTCCGACTGCCCCGCAACGCATCAAGCACCAACTTCCCGTCGTTCGTTGCCAACCATCCTGTCCGTGAACCGTCATTTCCACTTCGGATTATCCCACCAACTGTTTGACTCACCACCGAGCACTACATATTACAGGAAACGAACACCATCATCCATTGCATCCCTATTCGCCACGCAATCGGCATCGTCAATTGCCGCGTTTATCCAGCATTTCCTCTAAAAGCACATCTCAGCAACATCACTACGAGACACACATCCAGATCAGATCACATTCACCCAGACCATGTCACAGCCCCCGAGTAGAGGACGATTGGCACCGCGGGGCGGCCGCCGCCCTGCCGCCGCCGCCGAGACCCCCGCCTCAGGATCGTCAGCCACCCCAGCAGCCACGCCCGCGCCGACTTCAGCAGCAGCCTCGACATCAACATCGTCAGCGGCGACCCCAGCAGCTTCGTCGGCCGCCAAGCCGGGCCTCAAGTTCAAACCTAAGGCCGTTAGAAGAGGCGAGGCAGAGAGACAGCGCATTGCAGAGGAACAGCAGAGGTTACAGGACATCCGAAATGAACAAGAGAGCAGACGATTAGCCCGGGCGAACCGCGGGCGCGGAAGAGGCGGTGGACGTGGGCGCGGGCGAGGTAACTTCCTTATGAGGGGAGGCCGCACCGCGAGTGCTGCTGGCCCCTTGTCTGGAGGCATGGGTTGTAAGTCGTAGCAGCTAACCTGACTTTGATACTGTCCGTCGCTAACAGTTTGTTGCAGATGGAGGAGGCTCTTCTGGTGGTTCCGGCGCGGATGGTTTCGGAACATCCAATGGTTTCGACGCGAACAGAATCAACGCCGACATGCTTTACAGCCTCAGCCTCGAAGACGAAGAGGAGAAGCTCGAGAACGGCTTGGTCCGGACGAAGAAGAAGAGGGCTCCGATGCCCATGGGTATCAGGAGATTCGAGCACGAGGAAGAGGAGGTTGTTATGGCCACTGCTGCGGAAATTGAAGCTCAGGACGCCGGCGTCGATGTGGCCGCTGGCGATGACGACGACGACGACAGCTCAGATCTCTTTGTCGACAACGGAGAAGGACCAGTACAGATCAAGGATGAAGGAGCGGTGGACACCGCGGTACCAAAGGCCGTCATTAAGAAGGAGGGCGGTGAGATGGAGGACGTCAATATGGAGAGCATCCCAGAAGGAGTCATCAAGGCTCCCGAGTCGCCAGAGCTCAAGAAGAAGGTTATGGCCACTACAAAGGAAGCAGAAAAGCCAAAGGAGAAGAAGCCCAAGAAGCCCAAGGAAACAGAGGCAGATTTTGCCCAGCAAGACCGGGAGCGTTTGGTCGAGCTCTTCAACCACGGCACTGAGCTCGAAGGGCACATGTTCCTCTTCCAGCTTCCCGTCGTGCTCCCGCCGCTCAAAAGCGCAGCGCCAGCTCCCAAGGTCAAGCCGGAACCGGAAGGTGACGATGTTGTTATGCTAGATCAGCCGGCTGCGCCAAAGTCGTCCTCTCGTATTGACTTGACATCGGAGGAGGCGAGCAAGGTCAAGAAGGAGAATGGAGAGGAGGCAGATGCAGACGGAGAGCAAGATATGACTCACGAAGGCGGTTACGTTGGTCAGCTGGTTGTGCGAAAGTCTGGCAAGGTCGAAGTCAGCTGGGGTGGCCTCCCTCTACAGATGGGCTTGGGTATCCAGGCCAACTTCTTGTCGACGGCGGTTATCATCAAGGAGGACGACGTGAAGCCGACACAAGATCAGTACACGGGAGCCGCCTACGGTATGGGCAGAATCCAGGGCTCCTTTGTTTTGGCGCACACATTCGGAGATGAAGAAGAATGGGTTGTTGATCCGAGCGAGCTCGTCATGGCCGATGAGGAGCAGTGAACGGGACTAGCAAAGGCGTCCCGAGGACTGCCCATTAGCGAAGCTCATGGTAGATGGAGCCAATTACATTGCATCACATCCGGAGGGGGGCAGCGAAATCAGACAGGAATTTGATACCCATTAAGAACAAGACTACAGAATATGCAAATGAAGGTGAGAGTTTCCTATTTCGGGGTATTGTGATGTCAATTCCAAGTCGCAGAATGACAGGAATTCTCAAGTATCAACGGCATGTCCCACGCAGCCTCATTATCGTTCCGGGCATATGCTTGAAGGACGGGCAGGCAGCCTGGTCAGCGACGCAAGTCATTTCGTCGTTTCGACCACCGGCTTCCTTCACGATATGGATCGCGTGATTGCTAACCCACACGGCTACGCACCCGTTGGTTACGCAAAAACGCTACAGCGGGCAGTGGAAAGAGTAATGGACGGTTGAATTCACTCCACGGGAATGTAGACTAATAACGGTCCGCGATGTCCGGGGCGGACGGACGGCTTGAGTCGGCAAAGTCTATGACAACAGGACAAAGCCGGATAGGGTCAGGTCATTCGGATACTTCCGACAATTTTATCTGCTCGGAAGCTCTACGAGCCTGACTACATGGAAAGGTTCGACAGAGTGTACTGTCGTATGATACGTACCGTATAATCTCTGGAAATTGAGGTTCGGGAAGGCACTTTCTAAGCACAGATTGAAGCACATAGTGCGGCATATGTGCCAGCCGTACCCTCTGTGAAAGACTGTGATTTCTGGCGCCCCACCCTCGAGCGATTCTGTAAGACAGGGGAAAAGACAAGGCAAAAGACAGGGGAAAAGAATTCGAATTTACAGACCTCCGGGGAGGCGACACATCTCCCCCACCCACTTGGCGGGCATACATATGTACAGCATCGGGCAGAAAAATGGCATATCTGTGCTTATAACGTGCCTTCCCGAGCCTCAATTTCCAGAGATTATAGGGTACCGGTATATGAATATAATAAATCGTTGTGGTAGACCTTGTGTTGGACAACGGTATGCGGGAAGGACAGCCAACGAGACGATCACGATCCTCGACACGGCAGTTCATACGAATTTGCGTGATCGTAAGGTGTCTTCTAGCTGCAGTCAATGCATGCTGCAGCCGAAGCCCGAACAAATATGCATATGAACTCGTTGTTTCGCCTCCGTCAGTCATCGGATGCTTCAAATGCAGCGAGGGATCTCTATACTCTTAATTGAAATTTCCTTCCCACCTCCCCTCCTTCCCTCCTTCCAAGTTCCTCACGCGGTAAGAACTGTTAACAGAACAAATTTACCGGAAAGCAGCAAGAGCAAGGGAAGTCATTATCATACCTGCCCTACTTACTACGATCAACAAATATGTGGTCGAGAACAGTGGAAACCAATCTCGAGGAGGGCAAGCCACCCGAAAACACTACCGACCAGGAACCGCAACAGCAATACTTTCGCTTCTCACCACCAACCGACCATAGAGGTACCATCTCTGGCGAAGAGTGCTGCTCATTAGCTTCCTCATCATCATCCTCCTCCTCCGTTTTGAGCAAAATCGAGGACATAGAAGACTCCTCTGACTACCCCAACGGCGGCCTCCTAGCCTGGTCGCAAGTCCTCGTCGCCATGCTCGTCAACATGCTCGCCTGGGGCTACCCGGCCACCTTCGGCGTTTATCAGCTCTATTACGTCGACACGCTGCGGCTGCCCTCGTCCCAAGTCTCTTGGATTGGCTCGGCCCAGACCTTCCTCGCCCTCGCCACCTGCACGCTCTCCGGCCGGCTGGCTGACGCGGGGCACATCAAGTGGACCATGACCGCTGGGTGTGGGATGGTGGTTTTCGGCACCTTTATGACGAGCCTGTGCGGCGGAGGCGAGCCCGGCGAGAACGACAAGTATTGGCAGATCTTCCTGGCCCAAGGGATTTGTACGGGGTTCGGGTTGGGCATCTGCTTCATGCCACCGCTGTCGGTGGTGAACTCGTACTTTAGCAAGGAGAAGCGGTCGTTCGCCTTGGCGGTGTCGGCGACAGGGACCGGGCTCGGAAGCATAGTGTTCCCGGCTATTATACAATACCTAACCCCCAAGTTCGGGTTTGCGTGGGCGGTGCGCTGCCAGGCCTTTGTGGCGCTGATGATCTCCGTGATTGCTGTTGCCCTTGTTAGGCCGAGGCTGGAGCCCAGACGGAGCGGACCTTTGGTTGAGTGGAAAGCGTTCAAGGAGGTGCCGTATAGACTGTTTGTGGTGGGCGCGTTTTTGTTCTTTTATGCCATCTTCTTTGGGTTCTTTTTTGTGAGTGTCCTCCATCCACCCATCCATTCATCCTCCTCCTCTTGATCCTTCTTCCCCCCTTCCTCTCCGCCTTATTACTCAGGGACACTGGCTGACGGTTTCAAACAAACACGCAGATCAACGTCTACGCCCGCAACATCGTCCACTTCCCAACCACTTCATCCGTCCACCTGCTGATCATAGCCAACGGCGTATCGGTTCTCGGCCGCCCTCTGGCCGGCTACATAGCCGACCGTCACATCGGCGCCATCAACACCTTCTGCATCGGCACCTGCATCTTGTCCGTCGTGCTCTTCTCCTGGATGGGCGTTCACACGCGCGCGGGCATGTACGTCTTCTCTGCCTTCCTCGGGCTGTCCACCGGCGCGGCCCAGGGCATCTACAACGGTGCCATGTCCAACTTGACCAAGGACCCGCGTAGGTTCGGGACGAGGTTCGGCATGATCAACACGACTGTGGCGTTTGCCGCGCTGGCGGGGCCGCCGACGGCGGGTGCAATCATCGATCATGATGGCGGGCGATATAAATGGGCGCAGGTGTGGGCGGGCACGGTGGTGTTGCATGCGAGCATGATCTTCATGGCTGTTAGAATTTCAATCAGTGGGTGGAAGCTTAAGATGAAGGTGTGAGGCATTCGTCTAAGAAAACCACACTATATTATCGTCCAAAACCTCGTATCCCAAAGTCGGTAGCGCATATCCCACATACCAAAGAGGTTTTCTTTTCGACAATACTTCTTCCCACCCTATTATCAGCGAGTTCTTTCCCAATTGCATTCATAGTGCCGTCTTTGCAACTGGCTCTCAAAGACTGTATTTGAAGGCTCTCCACAAAAAACTGAGACTCTGAAACTTCCATGGCTGAGTTTCATTGCACTTGGAAGAGCTAAAATTGCTTCAATTTCAGACCGGTGATGTTGGTTCTAGCCTAGAGCAAACAGTTGGCGGGTGTCTCCAAATCGGGAAGGCAACCGCCGATGGTTGGATGCCTTTTGAATCGTGATAAGATTATCGATTTAGTATGCTGTGATCTGTTCCTGTCCGCTTTCTTAATTCGATACTGACTGGTGTCGCTCATTTGTCTCCGGACGATGTGTTGGTATGAAAAAAAAATGTTGTGTCAGAATCTTTTACGAATTGTTGCTGGCTTCGTCGGGTTGGTCGGAAACAAATCGTGCGGGATAGGCGGGAGCTTTACCTACACTCTTGCCCTGGAACGTTCGTTAGCTCGAGACTTCACTGCGCACTCTGCGAAACGCAACCATCACTCAACCAATTCTCATGCAAAAAGTTGGTATCAACCCGATGCGTTTTAAGAGCTTCATATGCTCTCTCGAATTTTTTCCTTTAAATGTGGTTGTCCCGTTGTTTTTCTGTATTGTTTTGCGGACCCCTGTCACAAGAACCGCGCTAACAAACGAACCAGCATTGAACTGTACAAGGCTTGGCATAACGAGTCTTGGCATCAGATCGACTTGGTTGACCTTTGATTTTGAAACTACTCAACTACTGCGTAGGTTGTAAAAGTAAACAAACCTCTTGTAGATCCTTTCCTTTTGTATTTCCATCATGGTCTGTCCATCGTTACTACTGCTAAGTAAGTGCCGGAGCCGGTGTGACGACATCGTGAGCGAAACGAATTAGGTATTTACGATGATACATGCCTCGAACTGTCTTCGTTGTGCATACACTGTCCTGCTTCCAAGCGAGGCCAAACAACACACCGACGCTACACCACTTGGGCAACCGAAACGAAACCTGTCAAGTGAACATCGTCCGCCGTTGCACAAGGCATCGTGGTCGAATCCTCGAGAATGCCGCCTCGGCTTTGATATGTCGTACACATCCTAACTCCTTGGCTCTGAAGCAATAAGAATTGTACGGGACTTGCATATCGTGGGGGTCAGATGATAGAACCAATCCAATTACACCCGATCTTACGTGGGACAACAACCTCCCAAAGGCCAAAGCTTTCCCCACGTTTTTCCAACTTCCTCTGTCCCGCTCGCATCAAACGCATAGACCCAGACCACGTCGTCCGTCTTTAGCGCTCTACACGAATCATATTTTAGTTCGTCCCTCCGTCGTTGGAAACACTGGCCCTGCTCAGCTCAGTGCTCTGAGGTGGGGGGTAATCTGGCCCAACTCTAATCCAACCAATCACAAGCCGCATTTGCGCCTTTTCATGATCGAAAAGGGAAGGCGGCCGGCCGTCAGTTCTGTTCTGCGCAAATCAGGGTACGTACCCGCACAGTTCATATTACACAGTGCGTGCTTAAAAAGGCGTTTGAGGCCCGACGGCGGTGACCCCGCAAAAAAGAGATCGACTCCTCTTTTTGGCTTGGCAAGCTTGGTTAGTGCCCGCGGGTGTACGGCGTTAAAAAAGCTGTTAGCCCCACCCCCACTACCTTTCCGCTTGGCGCTAGGCTGGATCAGGGGCTAGCGCAAAAGCTTGTTCAGACACCGCTTTTGAATATTGGACGGTCTGCGGTCACTGGTCAGGGTTTCGTGATCTGAGAACTTCATAGCTGGAAATGGCCATCCATGGTTAACACGAGACGGCGGACGGGGCTGTAATACATCTGTAAGGTTCTTCGGAATCGCGCGCGCATAGCGAGCATCGGCGGCTGTTATGGATGGTAAGGAGCTTTCAAAAGATCATACAATGCTGATGATGACGTGAGGTGGCTTGCGCGCATTTTGGTGAAGTGGAGACTTGCGAGTAGTACTTATCGTTATCCGGGTTGAATGACGTTTCAACCCGTCCCCTTCTCGTTTATTATATAAGTACAGTTAGTACCCTGCGCGCAAGGATGTTGATGTGGCTGACCACAACCATGAGGACTCGAAGAGAAGCCAAAAGTTCGGGATTTGAAGGATAAAGTTATTGGTTGTGTTCAGTTTTCTTTACATGTCTTCGCTTCACCCAAGCATCCTCTGGGTATTACCTCTCCCTCATCTCCAGTCAGGTCAGTCTCAAAAGTGTCACAAGTGTCGCTGGTGTGAACCTCGCAATTCCCCGGTTCACCGTTTTCCAAGTACGCAATAAAGAATTGCTTGCGCTACTTGCGTTTATGAGGATTTAGTCATCGAGGTGACAGCTGATGCTGGATTCTTCGAGGTGGTCGTCATCACCGCTTGGGTCAAATTTAATGCTGCTCTTGTTATCTTCTGTCTGTGTAAGGACACCGCCAGACAGCTAAACCAGTATTTGGTAAGGTATACTGCTCAGAAACATTTTCGCTGGTAGAGACTTAAGTAGAAAATGCGAACAACTGCCTTGCACCTTCAACTTCCCCGCCTCTCTGGCTTCTAGACCAGAATATATCGGGTTCCTGCCATACTCCTGTCCCCAGTTCGTGCGCATTGCTGAAACAGAAACATTTTCGCTGGTAGGGATAAGATAGAAAAACGATCCTTCAACTTCCCGATCTCTCTGGCTTCCAGACCAGAATACATCAGCTTCCAGCTATGGCCCCGTCCTCAGTGTGTCCGCGATGCTGAAACATGCGACAAGGGCGTACCAGCAAACTGCTGCAAAAAGATATGACAGTCTGGTTCGAGTCGATCATCTCCCGAAAAAAGATATTGCCTAGTCACATCTCGCCCATCTCTTTTCACTCCGTCTGGGAGTTCCCTCTCATCACTGTTGCGAGTAACCAAGTACCCAAAAAAAGAAACTACACACAAGCTGTGCGCCATTGAATCACATCAAGCACAGCCTCCCACTGCGAAAACCAGACTGTCACAAACAAGGATAAACTCAACTGAAGCCAGAAGTGCTCAATGGCTGATGGCAGACCGACACGCGGTAGATATGATATGGTAAGAGAAGATAGATGAATTTAACTTTTGCCGCGCTGCCCAGGAAACCTTTGGAACAGAAGGGGAGAGGGGCTCAGAGAGATAAAAGGAGATACTGAAGAGGAAACTAAACTCGTGGCTGATGAAGCAGACCCGCAGTCGAGCCATCGTTACCGACTTCACCTCTTGCGCTTCTTGCTCTTATCGAGTGCCGATGAATTTGGGGCCGAGCCCAGACCCCCCGCGGGGGCGATTAGGGCAGCCGGCAGTAATGTTGCCGGAGCCGACACTTCCTCCTTGTTCACTGGAACGGGAACACCCATGTGACGACCGTAGCGGCCCTTCCGGCCATTACCCTCGTCCTCGCTAATGCATTGCTCGGCGGGAATGCCGGCATCCTTGCATCTGCCACAAGGTCGTTGCCTGTCACATCCCTTCTTGCTCTTGCGACACCGTTGGCAGCGTGGCTTGGTAGAGAGATCCGGCTGTTCCTCCTCTCCATGAGCCGCAGAGTAGGTCGAAGTTGATACGATCGACTGCTTGCGGGAGGCAGGCATGGATGCGGGCGTCATAGGCACTGGATTTGCCGAGGTCTTCTTGCTCTTCGGCTTGGTCGTCTTGATTGCCTTGGGCTTGCTGGTTGGCTGTGAGCGTGCCCTAGAGCCGTTTAGGGAACCGGATCTGGGTTTCGGATTCTTCAAGAGTTTGGGGGCGGCCATCGCGCCCTCCTCCACCCCATCTCCATCCTCGTAGTCGGCGTCATCACCGCTCACCTCGGCGCCATCTTGCGGAACTGCAAAGTGGCTCTCCGTTGTCTGGAAGACACTCTGATCCCTGAACGCGTCCGCCTTCGTATGGGCAAGCGGCATCTCGTCCTCGCTTTCACTCTCACAATCACTCGTCGTACCGGTGGAGCAAGAAGCATCTGCCCTACCACTGAACGTATCATCCAGCGTTGAGCCTGAAGATCGGCCATTTGGGTTCCAACCTCCTTGCAACTGCATGAGCTGCATGGCGACGTCTTTAATGTCTTTGTCCTCCTCAGACACACAGCTTCTCACAGTGGGGTCGGGTGTGAGTATTGTCCTTGCCCCGGTGGCAACACCCGAGCCATCATAGCTGATGCTTCCACGGGCGCGACGGTCGTCAATGGCCGGCGTCGCATACGTACTAGAAGCCGCGTAGTGATTGTGGTAGTTCGGCGGAGTTTGTAGAGGCCGGGGATTGCTGAAGGGGTTTTGAGTGGCATTACTGAAAGGAGGAGGGTATCGGTGGGAGTCACTGTGTCTGATAGGGGAGAATGAATGGTTGGAAGCGGCCGCTGGCATCTGTGGGGGAGCAAAAAGCGGCAATTCCTGGACAAGGGGTGTCAGTACATGACGACAGCTAGTGGACTCGAGAGCCATGCAGAACCTACCGAACTCTCGAACAATTTGGCGCGCTTCCGCCGTCCCCCTTCGACGATGTTTTCCACACTGATGTCGGTGTTTCCGATAGGCTCCTTGTTCTTTCCTGACACCGACCCCGATGCACCATCTCCACTGCTGTAGCCATTGACGCTGTCGCCGTGGTCACCATGCGTGGTCTTGGAAGACCGCGATCGCCCTTTCTTTCCGGCAATGGCAGTTGAAGTGCTGCGGCGCCCTCGGCCACCATTGGGAGAGGGGCTGCGGAAACGAGATGTTCGCAGTGTGGGTCTGGAGGCGTAGTGGTCGTTCTCTTCGTCTCCGTGGTAGCCATCGGCATTGTTGTAGCTCGGTGATAGCCCGCGGGGGTTCTCAATGATGCGGACGTTGACGGACTGGTGGTCGACAAAGTTTTCGTATCGGGCAATCATGGTGTTTCCTCGCTCGTCCTCGAAGCTGATTCCCGCGCGCTCCTTGTAGTATAAACCGTAAAAATTCTTGACAGTGGTAATGATGGATTCGGTCGCATCGTGCGGGTAGATTGCGACTCGGAGCGGTATACGGGCTTCGTGGAGAACAAATGTAACGACTTTGGCTTTGGGTGTCGTGCTCGTCGTCCGCGGCGACACATTGCAGCTGTTGGACTCGTAGGCGGTCGCCATTGATGCGAAGGTTGTCGCGATGTGTTTGACTCGTGGGTCTGCGGTGAACTGATTGCGGTTAGGTTGAATATGAACTGAGAGCAATACCCGACTAGTTCGCAAAGGAGGGTCGAGATTGGTTAAATAAATGGGAGGTAGAGATCTGGGAAGGAGTTGGGCGGAAGAAGGGGGAAGAGAACGATGAGCGCATGCCCGGTATTTAAGGGCCTACGATTTCGCCGCGCCGACGACCGACGCAGACATGCAGGCCAACTGTGCCAAACAACCGGAGGGGGAGGGGACCATTGCATTGTCCGAATGATCACATCATGCTTAAGAACTGAAAATACTCACCAGAATGTGCAGTTAGGGTGGTGGTGATGGCCAACTGGTGGCTTCGATCTCGACTCTTGCGCACGCAATGTCGGGCGAAATCTGGACGAAGCTGCAATCGTGAGCGACCGGAGCTCCAGCAGCAAATTAAAGATCAGGGACGAGGAAGGGCGGGAAGCGGACTCGAGTCGAAGATGACTTGGAGAAACGAGGAGCTTGATCTGGGCGACGTACTAGGGAAGAAACAGAAAGTGTTGACGGAGCCGACGGTGGGAGGTGAGAGGTAGAAGTAGTAGGACGACCTGGACCGGGGGAAATCCGCTTATGTGCTGGGAGAATGGAGGTTTGGTCAACACAGCGAGAGCACGCATGTCCGGTCGCAAGAAACTGAATCTGCACTGCGTGCACTCGTCAGATTAACCTGGAATCGCAACCCCCTTCACCACCGGGCCTAGCACGGGCAGTGCCCTGCCAGCCTGCCTCACTGCCCAAATTCAGCTGTCCGTAGGTGTTTTGCCCCGACAATGGCCCCGCAGACCGAAATCTACAGCGCCAACTTAAATGCTGCCCGCTACTTGACGGACGTGCCATCTTTTATTTACAAATATGCGGGCCAGACCCATTCTAGGCATGCGACGGGTTTTAAGAGTGTCTTTTCCTGATGTTTTGGGGCTACCTTATCTCACAGTTTCCAAGTCCGTAGGTTGCGGTTGCGCATGCGCATCGCATTGATCCTTTTGCGACCATAGAATTGCGACAGCGTGGAGCTGGCGGAAGGCGTGGACCCCAGCGGCCCCGTCTCATGTTCTCACCATTCTGGTAGGTGCAGCTCTTGTTACGAGATGAATGGAAGCACTAACAGTACGCCCATATTTCTGTGTGGTGGTATGTTAGTGTTCAAGTTGGTATCATACAACGTCGCCCACCAAACCTCCTCCTACCGAGCTACCCTGACCGAGACCCGGACAGGTTGCCGTCGCCTTCTATTCTTCGTAACTCGAATTAAATCCGAGGAAGCCAAAAGTAAGACGCGAAATACCCGACGCATTGCAAAGGCATATTGCGCCGACCAGTAGCTCCTCGAATTATTGTTTGACTACCAAATACGTAGAGGTATCCCTATATCTCCACATCTCTATGGGGCCAGCTGGAAGTCGAGATCAAGTACCTTATTTTGTGTCGCTAGATCAACGTAGTAATTTTCCAAGTTCAAATATCATCGAAACCCCTTCGGCGAGGTATGCGATATGGTAGGCACTGTCTGGGATGAAAGTTGAACATGACTTGGGCCCGGGCGCAGTACCTTCTTCTCGGACTGTGAATCTCGCGATGTCTTGAATCCCATTTCAACCTCGGTAGCCTGCTGTTCGCGCCAAAGGCTGGTGGACCGCGAACTTCAGCCATTTTACAGGGCTAACGTACACGAGAAGCGGTGATGGAAAAATATATAGAGAAACATCCAGGTCCAGTGATGACGGCGGGCGGAGATACAACGGTTGCATGTTCGGACACCCCGCCGCGCCGCCGGTTTCCGTTGTGTCTGGATGCTGATGAAGGGCCGGTCGCTTCAGTCATTGTAGGTAGTGACATTCGTTACCTTTTCACCAAACCAACCCTCGCGTGCGTCGAGCGCAGGTGGCCACCAAAAGCCACTGGATGAGGATGCGCCAGATAGCCATGTTGACGAACCTCCAGACAACCGTCGCGAGCGTTCCAGACAGCGACGAGCCAATGGCGTCAGGGCCAGCTGTGCCATGTCAAAAACAGGGGTATGGTTGCCCGTCTCACTGCAGGTCTCGACCCCCCCTGATACTGCAACTAATCCGGGCATTCTGAGAGACGACAGGAGGCTTTGCATTTAAAAGTTGATGTGCATTTACTGGCGCCTCACTTACATAGAAAGCTGGGAGTTGGAAGTGCCAAACGTCTTGCATTAATCGAGTCACTAGGTCTTTATGCCCGGGTTTGCAGAATGGGGGGTTGCTGTATCAAGGGGGGTCGACTTGTACACTCGCTGCCGTGCCTTTTCACTGTCGCAACCTGGAGATCCATTGCCAGGGTTGTGCCGCGACCTTTTTAAACGGCTTGGAACGTTCGCTTCTGTTCCCTTGAGGTTTTGGGGCGATCGACTTCTTTGCAACCCAAGAAATACTGTGATACTGCCCGAATCCCACACTCGAATGCGTTCCGCGCGCAAGTGGGAAAGTCTGTCTTCCAATATTCCATCCGTCGCTTTACCATAGCTCCATAGGTATACTGACCAAAGTCTGACTAGAAGCTTGATTATCGATCGCCTGCGTGCGCTTCGCCTGGCGCTCCGTCTGCGCCAGATTTCCCAGATTTGATCTCGCTCTCAGCGCTCTCGACCTTTCACGTTCCCCTCTTCCTGTGCGAACCATTCTGGATCTTCCCGCAACGCCGAGCCCGCTCTGCACCCTTTCAGTGGACCAAGCAAGTGCTGGTGGAGCTCGAAGCAATGGCAGATTGGATGCAGTGAGTGCCCTGGACAAATGGAGCCATTTCGCTCGCCGTCAGGTGAATTCGCGAAATCGGTAACACGCCATGGTAAGACTAGTAACCGGGCCGGCTAAAACGACTGTCTCTCTAACTTGAACGACTATACCCACATAAATCAGGCGGTAACAAGGGTACGCTAGCCAATACTATCCCATATCCCCGCGCGCCAAAAACGCTAATAAACAACATTTATTTACATTTATATTAACAACACACAGACGCTGCACACACGAATTAGCAATTAAATTGAAGCGCTGTCACCATCACCAAAATAAATCATATTATTAAAACTCGTAAAAGGAAGTAACTAACCGCTATACAAATACCTAAAATTATCAACTTTACTAACTCCTAACCCGAACCCGCTACGCGCACTCCCAACCCTACCCCGTCACTCGAATATCTCTATACGTAGAAGGTTAAGCCTACCTCTAGCCAAACAATCAATTAGGACGCCTTTCTCAATATTAATAAATTTATTAGGGAGAAACCTCGCTCTTACTCTCCCTCCTCCAACCCCGCGCTAATACTAATACGCTCGCTATCGTAATACTCCTCCCCAAAAAATAAAAATCAATCGACTACCAATAAGGAATCTCCTCTCTATAAACTTACTTCCTATAAATAACCTGACGTCAATACCCTCTATCGTAACGTTAATAAAATAATAAAGGCTACGAACTTCGGTATTATTAAACGTCGTACTAATAATTATTCTAAAAACAAACTAATACAATATAATATTAAATATATTAAAAGTATTATTTATAAAACAACGCAGGCTCGCCGTAACAAAGGTATTACAAAACCTATAGTAACTAATTTAAAAAAAAGATTACTAATTCAAAGTAATAACGATTCACTCTACTAAAAACAACATTTAAAAATTTATTATCCGGCATTCTAAATACAAATACCCCTTCAACCTCGAATTTACTCTATACTTTATAATCTATTATTATCTTAAGAAAAGTAAGGAAATAAATATAAATATACTAAAACTTACTAAATAACCGAAGGCGTTGGGCTCTAATATCGCGTTTAATATCCGTTTTAAATTCTCTATCACAAGGCTACCACCCAGAGGTTCATATTAGGTTTTGCAGCCTAATTGCCTGCCTGTGGCTTATGCCTTATAGTTCGTGACGGCGCTACGCCTCTATAGCGCTGTGCACGTGCCTGTAGCTCCATTTAAAAGGCCGCAGTCTATAACTCCGTTTTATAGCCCAATTTTTCCCCCTTTCCTCTTTATAGAACTTCATCGATTTTATTTAGCCTATCATTTAGATTATATTCTATTATCACCCTTATATTAAGTTCTATCCTCTTTTGTTTGAATAGAATTTATAACCTTATACGCGGCGATATTAGATATTAATTTATTAGAATAGTTAAATTCGGATTGCTTATAGACGTCGACGAAAAAATAGTATCTACTTCCTCTTTCTAAAATACCCCTTCGGGTTTTATAGAAGGTCCTATAGGAATTACTAGTATTACCCTTAAATACAACCCTAAGAAGACGACGACCGGCCTTATCACAACTATTACTAATACCCTTAATATTAATAGTTTGGACTTTATACGAATTCTCTACTCTATAGCTACGAACCTTACCTCGAACCGTTCTCTAATCCTAAAGCTTAATTTCAATTTCTTCCTGGCTATAGTTTGTACTTCCATAATTAGTAATAATAATAATAATAATAATAATAATAATAAATATTTACATATATAAAAACCTCTAACTTTATTTAGTTAGAATGGTTAGTAATCGACTTTCTCCTTCTATTATACTTTACTTATTAAAATGTATAATACTAATAATAAGGCGGGTTTTTGTATAGATAAAGACGCCGCTTAAATTAAAATCTTTAGTTGTATTGGTGCAGCTAGCTGAGTGTAGCTGTCTGGCTATAGTATATTTAGTAGTCTAGGTACAAATTACTATTATATGACGGCATGGCTGTTCTGGGTGGGTCTATATCTATGGACCTATACCCTATACCCTATATAGTTCTTGTACGCGTATAGGACTCTCTTCTTATTCTTCGTATAATAATTAAAGTTTTACTTTAATGCTTGCTCGCGCCCTTTAATACTTTATGTACCTAACCTTTACGTTAAAGCGTAACGAGTAATTTCGGTTTAACTAAGTTTAGTAGGAGCTA